TAAAAATGCTGCGATATCATCACAAATCAAGCTTAAATCATCTCTGAAGACTATATCAGGTGTCGAGGTTTACAACAAAATACCTGATGAGTGGAAATCCAAAAACAAAAATAATTTTGAAAATATTGTCAAAAATTATTAATGAATTATTATTTATTAAATTAGGTTTCATTATAATTATGTATAAGTAATGTAAATTGTCATTATTGAATTTTAATAAATTTCTATTCTGTTCTATATAAAATATAGAGTGTGTTAAAATATTTTACGTATATTTAATAGAGATAGTATAGTTAAAGGTTTTAGACATAAATCATTTCCAATCAATGATAGCTTAACCTATTTTACTTAACAGTAAATCATTGATCCGTAGGTATCGCTAAGTAAACTTTGATAAGACGGTCGATGAAGGCAAACAGACGCTCTTTGTTTCGTTAACCTTAAATGAACTTGTTTTATAAACATTTTTACTTAGCCTGTCTTTATTAGCATAGGCAATTCATTAATAAAATATTAAAACAGTGCAGCGTCGCGACTGATTGCGATCGTAAATTCTTATGCACAAAAGCAATATGTACCAAGGATGGTCAGAAAGCGGGTCAGAAGGTGTTAATTCAACAAGCCAGACGGTTTTTAATTTTAACTTCAGTAAGGTGAGTTATTAAAATCGAAAAAGTCGACATTTGATACTTTTAATATCTCTACATTTCAAGATCTTCTGATCTATTTGGCATACAAAAAAGGATGAACAATGTGCGTAATTGAGTACATATTAGTATGAGTATATAGACAGGAGTATATATTATTAAAAGCTGATTAGTGAAAATGCACATTTATTAGTAAAACATTATCATTTGGCATGATAACATCAAATTATGAACAGACTATCAAAGAAGAAAAAATAAAATTTAAGATTTTTTAATTTATTAAAGATTTTTAGATTTTTTTTTTCAAAATTGATATTTCAAATATAATAAATAATAAATAAAAAATTCAATTTCAAATCTGTATAAATTAAAAAATTACCGATTTTCAAATTTTCAATTTAATAAAATGTATAATATAACTGAAAAAAACAAATAAACTACAATGAGACAAAAAGCATTATTTTATCAAATATTTGAAAAACATTATAAATTTTCAAAAAATACATTTTCTAATTTTATTTCATTGAATATTTTCATTATTCTAATGATTGTCTATAGAACCAGAAGTCATTAATTCAGTTTCCAAATAATTTTTTTTCATATAAACAGATTTTTACGCCGGATTAGAATTTGTTGAGAAAGCATGGATTAATTATCATTACTTCAATTAGGATGAAACGACTAAGTCGATTTTATAGTTTACCAACTAGACCGAAGGTACATAACTGACATTTTAAAAATACCTAGCATTGTTTTAGTAGTTGCTTATCAAAAACTCTCTAACATTACTTTTGAACAATGAATTTTTGATTTTTGAAAATCGATTCAGAATTTTTTGCAAAGACGTTCTCGTTAACTATGAAGAAGCGTTTCGACAGATCATCACATAAAACTAATACTATGACATGTCGAGCTTGATAAAATGACTGCAGCCATTTTCGAAAAGACGTCGACCAGGCACACATCTTTTCATTTTGAGTCACTTCTTTTCGGGCGAAGATGTAGAGCGTAGACATGTCGTTATATAAAAATTAACTAGCTGTAAGTGAAATTCTGTCTTAAGGCTATCGTGCCTTGAGGCAAATTGCTGGAACTTTCCGTACCAAAAATTATTATTTTTTTAAAAACGATTAACATTTTTGAAAAAAAACTAGCTGTAAGTGGAATTCTGTCTTAAGGCAATTAGGGCATCGTGCCTTAAGGCAAATTGCTGGAACTTCCCGTACCAAAAATTATTATTTTTTTTTAAAACGATTAAAATTGAAAAATTGAAAAAAATTTACTTCGAAAAAATAAGATTTTTGAGAAACTATAAATTGGACAAAAAATTACTTTTTTTTGAAAAAAAATTTTTTTTTTAAAAAATTTTTTTTAAAGAAAATTTTTTTTTAATTTTTTTTTTTTAATTTTTTTTTTTTATTTTGACATATTTTGGAAGATCTGAACTTGTTTTTCAGAGCAATCGTACTGCTTTAACTGCATAGAGACGAAATATAAAGCGCGTAAGCGCGGCGTCGCTGTCTAACGGGTAAACATTGATACGGAACCCATAGGAAAATAAACAAAATTTATACTTATTGTTAAAATCTCTATAAAATATCTGAAAATTTGATGTGCATATCTCTAATGATCATTTTAGACCGCCAAATGGCATTTTTTTTACTTCTATCGTTATATCTCCGAAACCGCTAGACCTGCCTTTATGAAAATTTGACCAATTCTTTATCTTGTCAATACAAGTAAAATGTTTTTTGAATTATCAAAATCGAACGCTCCGTTCTCTTAAAAACTGAGTTACCGTTTTCGGCACTTTTTGCCCCGTATCTCCGGAACGGATAGACCTGCCTTCGCCAAAAACTAATCAGCACGTCTCCTTATCAATACGAATCGAATGTTTTTTGAATTATTCAAATCGGTTGATCCGTGTTCCCGAAATCGTCGACGAAAATTTGTATCCGCACATACATACACACACGCACACACACACACACACACACACACACACACACGCGCACATTCATCCATTTATTCTAAGGTATGCCAAAATATTCAGAAACCTCTGAAACGTAAAGATATATAAAAATTTTCATTTTCGATTTTTTTGCGATTACTATAACTTACCCTACGGGAAGTTAAAAATTACTTCGAAAATATAAGATTTTTGAGAAACTATAAATTGGACAAAAAATTCCTTTTTTTTGAAAAAAAATTAAAAAAAAAATTTTTTAATTTCTTTTTCGAAAAAGAAATGTTTTCTTTATTTTGACATATTTTGAAAGATCTGAACTTTTTTTCAAAGCAATCGTACTACCTACTAACTGCATAGAAACAAATTATAAAGCGCGAAAGCGCCGCGTCGCTGTCTAACGGATAAACATTGGGACGGAACCCATAGGAATGTAAACAAAATTTATACTTATTGTTAAAATCTCTATAAAATATCTGATAATTTGATGTGCATATGTCTAATGATCGTTTTTGACCACCAAATGGCATTTTTTTTTACTTTTTTTGTTAAATCTCCGAAACCGCTAGACCTGCCCGTATGAAAATTTGATCAATTCTTCATTTTGTCAATACAAATAAAATGTTTTTTGAATTATTAAAATCAGGCGCTCCGTTCTCTTAAAAACTGAGGTACCGTTTTTGGCACTTTTTGCACGCACACACACACATACATCCATTTTTTCTAAAGTATGCCAAAATATTCAGAAACCTCTGAAACGTAAAGATATATAAAAATTTTCATTTTCGATTTTTTTGCGATTACTATAGCTACCCTAGGGGAAGTTAACAAAAAAAGAGTAAATGACCAATACCAAAATTAGCCGAAATTCACGTTTCATTGTTTTACATATTTGAACTTATGAACTCAGAATATTTTGATAAAACCAGAAAATAGGAAATTTTAGGTATTATATAAACAGTAACAATACTATGTAACTAAATATTGATTGCCAAAATATTATTTCAAAATCCAAAAGCATATGGTCATATATATATATATATATATATATATATATATATATATATATTTATATATATATATATATATATATATATTAAATTATTTAAATAATTTAAATGTTGATCTACGTGTTAGTTAATTCCTATTAGGATAAATTTCTTTTAAATAAATTCAATAATTTTGGCAGACTATTGCGTCTGTAATATTTAGTTTGTGATTGGCTTTGGAATAAGATAAATGATAGAAGCATTTTGCACATAGGTGGGAAGTAACCTTGAACAAGCATTTCAATTACCTGTTACTTATAGAACTGTTGAGCTATTAAAATAGTTTATAATGTGCTAATTAATTTATCTTATTGATCATTTTAAAATATGAAGCAAATGCATTTTTTCCATTCACTTTCGGAGAAGCAATCATTAGCTAACATAGGCAGTATTGGCATTTTATAGTGAATTAACATTACCTATTCTTTTTTTATTGAATTTTTAAGACTTCTGATGCTGTTCGTTGTTATTCTAATAACAAATACTAAAGTACATTATAAGTACAGAATTTTAGTATTTATTATACAGTATATATTTAAGCAAAGGCTTAGACAGTCACTCGCTTGCCACCGACATAAATTGAGAATGCTACACAAAGTTATCCATATTTTATTTTAGATTTTAGAAAAAATGGATGTATGTGTGTATACAAATTTTTGTCAACGATTTCGGGAACACGGGAATATATTGATTTGAATAATTAAAAAAAAAACATTCGACTCGCATTAATGGAGAGATGTGCTATTAAACTTTAGCAAAAGCAGGCCCAGCCGTTACGGTACAAAAAGTGCCAAAAATCGTAATTCAGTTTTTGAGAAAACAGAGCGTCCGATTTTAATGATTCAAAGAACATTTTATTTGTACTGACAAAATGAAAAACTGATAAACGTCTTGAGAATGCAAGTCTAGCGGCTTCGCAAATCCAATAAGAATATGCCATTTTGCGGTAAAAAATTAGACATGACATATGCACATCAAATTATTAGATATTTTATAAAGATTTTAATAAGTACAAATTTTGTTTATATTTTTAATAGTTGCATACCAATGATTACTGTTAGTTTGCGAAGTGGCGCATACGCGCTTCGATAGTATAGCACGATTGCTTTGATTAAAAGTTTTAAATTTTCGAAAAAGTTCAAAGTATAAAAAAAATATATATAATTTTTTCTCTACATTAGCTATAAAAATCTTTGAGTTGTTCCACTGAATGACGGCCTCGTCGAAGACCGAAGATAGTTAAATAAAGCTTATCATAATTGTATTAATACACAAATACAATTATGCTACAAATTACTTCAAATATATAGTAATAGATAAATATATAATTACTTGCAGGTGGTCTTTGCTGGGCCTCTATGAATGTTAATGGACGTTGCACAGAACTTAAAGCACCAGCAATGTCTAAGAAGGATTGTTGCAGTGACAACGTATCTGGCACTGCCTGGTCCGAGGAAGATTTAGATTCGGGCACATTATTCTTTTGGCGGGTTTTAGGTGGTGGTGTGCAGTGCTCCGGCTGCAAAGGTATATATAAGGTATATATAACGCACAAAATGTACATATATTTATTGAATTTCAAAAATTATAAGGAAATTTTAAAATAGTCGAAAAACCGGATAGGAACATTGTTCACAATCTATACTATAGATATTACAAATATAATTTATCGGATACAAATATGTAGTTTGTGAGCTTTTTGAAAATAAGAATATTTAGTTTGATGTTTTGATTATAAACAACATGTAGCTGTTTAACCACAAACTTTTAGCATTAATTGACTTATGCTTATGCGCAGTCTAAAAGTATATTTTTTGATAGTATAAAATGGTTTATATATTATTGTTAGATCGTGCAATAAATAAACAATCATAAAATAATATTACTACTCCCGAACAATTAATTTAAATTTTACAATTATACATCATGACTAATTCGAGCCAAGAATTGTGGTATTTGGGATACTAACATGGGACATGGCAATGGGTCTCAAACGGTTGAAAATGATTATACTCTATAAGATTAAATTGATATGCAACTTTCTTTGCTATTACAGAACTACTTCTACGCAAGTCTATTCAATACTTAAGATAGCACAAATTTCATTATAATTATACAAATAGCATCAATAATTACTGATATATAATAAGTTAGATGATTAAGCACTTTCACAGATTTACACCGCACGCAAAATTAAATGGATCATCACACGATATCTGATGAAATATTTTTATCGCTTCGGTGGCAAGAATTACCAGCAAGTTTTACAAGTTCAATATAATTCTGAATATACCTACTCTAACCATGGCAAATAAAATAATAAGTAGTTGTAACTCCAACTACGGCTTTCTTTCTAATAAAAAATCCTGACAAACCCATTAATGAATTAATATAACCGATAAATGATGCGACAAAACTATTCTTAGAATCAAATTATGTTAGGCAATGACAAATATGAACGCGATCAGGTTCACAATCGTTCATATTGCTTTCAACATAGATTTTAAGAAAATTGTAAAAATAACAACTTGTATTAGTTTTGCCTCAATATACAACCGATTTGCAAAGAGCGAGTAAAGCAGCGTCAATGTCGAGTACTGCGGAGTACTGGACAAACTTACATTATGATTCATTTATTAATTTATATAAAAATTGAAATTTTACTTCTCGTATACTTTACTTTAAATCTCCCGAAAATAACGATCAACGTTACGAGAACTATGCGATACCAAGAAGTGCATAGCATAATTTTAATGTGCAGCTTAATGCACAAAATTTTGAAAGATGAGACCAATCCACCGTTTAAGAGTATTGATGCCATTAAAAAATAGAAAGCAAAGTAAGCCAGACAGATTAATTTGGATCATTGCAATCATAAATTCATAAGAAATATAGGATACCAAAACTTCAAATTTGCGAAAAATTAAAACGCTGACCAACTGTTTCAAGATAGCTCTAATATTCAATCCACAACTTGCAATGGTTGCAAGAAAATAACTCAAAAATGTTAAAGTTTGTCAAAAACAAAACTAGGCAGAAAATGGATATTGCTACCAACTATATAAATTGTAGCACACTGCAATATCATACAACGTATCCATGTCCGGCCACGTCCAAACATTTCTGCACGTGTCCCAATGCAAGTATTCCAGGCATTTGAGAGCAATGTGCCACGTTACACTAGAATCGATGCAACTAACCAAGCTTAAACAAAACTCAGAGATCAGGATTTCCACATATCTTGATATCAGATTGTTTTTTTAAATCATCCAAATGATTCGAAGACATTTACAGTGTTACCATTGTTACATAATATAATTATTCGGCTCTTTAGCTGGCTTAATATTTGAGAGCCCGCTTTGATTTCGTATTCAGATCTTTATATAGGAATACAGGGCCCTTTAACGTTTTCAGTCTTAGAATTAAACAAATTCAAAACATCGTAAGCAAACAAGTGGCACATCAACATCAACAATCTCAGCAAACATTAAAAACATATTAGCATGCCATAAGTACTTACAACAGACAAACTTGAAATAATCTTACTTAAAAACAGATAAAGTCCTGAATTAATACATGTTTTAACATAAAATTACAGAAATATTTCTTCGTAATTAACAATTTGCTTATTATTGTCTATTCCTGACCACAACTCATATAAAGTTATGCCAGAAATAACCAAACTGGAAACGTGAAAATAATACCACAGAATATCAGCAGAGTTAAGCCATATCAATCTTCCACAAGATCCACATTGAGAATAAATGATAATCCACAACCAACAAACGTACTGTAAAGCCAGTTACTGTTACAGATTTTCCACAATGAAAACCACTCAACATACGCTACGTGATATTAACTACTGTTCAATACCAAAGATTTTTATATTAAGTGCTATTGTATTGCATATAATAAATAAACGATTAAAAGCTATATTGCTATATATAAACACCTCAATCTATACCAATATGTTTATTTACTTGACTGATTTTTTATATACAAATAGATATTTTAAGCATGAAGCAACAGATTAATGCCTTATCAACCAGTATACAAAATGTAGTTGATAAACTATGCGAAGCATTATAATAATATATTTATTAGAAACGGCCGGCAAAGTGTGAAGAAATACATTGAAATGAAAAATAAACAGAATACAGAGTGAAATATTTCAAATAATTTATAATAGCTTTAGCAACTAATTAAAATGATAATTCTTTTATTGATTATAATCGGGATGCGTGATTCCAGTAAAAAAAAGCCTCAGCTCATTGTCAAGAAGATGTTCCCGAAAAAGTTGATTCCTGAATCACTAATACATTGTTACCCAGGAATAGCAATTTGCAACTAGGCTATTTACTTTGATCGGATATTGCAAGCAATGACGCTGCATGAATTAACACATCTAATTGTAAGCTAAAAGATACGATGCCATGAAACTTCTAGCCCATTAGGGACGAGTTTTTAATGCCGCATTCGTGGCGATTGTCATGTGAATGATATTACTTTTTAAATTCATGGCATAAAACAATTCACTCAAGAGGGCTTATTGTTTTAACTTTGTTTCCTATATTTTTTGCAAAATAGAGCTCACAAGATTTAGATAAGATAAGATATTAAAGAATCTTAATAGTTAATTTTCGAGAAGGTAGAAAAATGTTTATTCTGCTTTCATTAAACCACTGCCAGTTTACATCAATTTTTCTTATTTCAGAGAGTTGCAGTGAAGTGAAATGCGATGTAGGGGAGAAGTGCGTGGAGCGGAACGGTAGACCAAAATGCGTTTGCGCGCCCGATTGCCGAGGAAGTGCGAAGCGAACTCTCCCAAAGCATGTGGCTGGTAAGCCAGTTTGTGGAACTGACGGCAAGAGTTATCGAACTTTGTGCAGGCTTAAGAAGCGCGCTTGTCGAAGAAAAAATTCATCGCTTACTGTTGCATATTATGGACCATGTCAAAGTACATACATCTTTGTCACGTTTTATCATATATAAAATAATATTTATTCTCTGGGATTATCGTTCATCAGCAGAATTGACACGATATAGAATACAAAATTGAGACTACATAACAAAACCGTCTTTCAAAGTAGAATATTTCAATATACCTATAATATAAGTTTATCGAAACTGAAATACTAATTGTAAGTAAAATTACAACATAATCTCTATATGCAATACGTTGGATTCCTACGAATAAAACAAAATCAGCGTTGTTTGACATCTAATTATAGAACTATTGGGTAGATTATAATGTTTTTTTGTTTGAATTTTTCTAACGCCCAAATAACATGATGTGATAATTCATCAGGTTGCATATTGGCTACAGCATTTCACGATTGATTTGTGCCACATAACCAAATTCGATATATAATAGCTTTGAATCCATTTTATATCGAATATTTTTTTGAACGTACTGAAACGTACTAAAACATAACATGAAGTAGAAAGGGTAAACTGATTAAATTTCAGAAAAAAATCGTTAATTTGGCGTATAAAAGCAAGTTTTGAGTATCTTCACTAATAAAAATTATATATATCGTTAAAATCCTCACATTAATTAAATGCACATGCATATGGATAACTTTCAAAGGATAAATACGAATAGAATATTGTCTCAATCGTTTGAATTGATTGATTCGTTATTTCAGTTTGAAATGCACAAAAATTGTGTTCAAACATTCAAACTTACGTAAATATATACATAATGTTCCTCATAACATTTTTTACCATGCATGTCAAAATAATTAGAATAGTTCTGAATGATTGAAGCAAAAAGCATAAAACATCATGAAAGTAATCAACATATCATTAAAACGTAAATATTTAAAAGAATGTTCTAGATTTTGTGTGATCTATATTCATCAAATAATTGTTTATAAACATATCAAGCGATTTAAGTTTATTAATTATTAAATATTCCGAATGCCGAGGCTTTTAATAGTTATCGATCTCGAACCGCATAAAAGTTTGAAATTTTCTAAAACATCAAGTAAATTTATAGCTAAAAGTCCATAACATTTAATCTACTACACGTTTAAACATTACGATTAATTTTTACTACATTTTCAAACAGATGTACGAGGCACTCCTGTTATTTCATTCTTCATAAATAAATTTATCAAGAACCGAGTTAGTTTAATAATCAAACTAATGGTATATGGCATCGTGCCTTATGGCAAATTGCTGGAAATTCCTGTTTCCTGTACCGAAAAAATTTTTTTGAGAATTTAAAAAAAAATAGATTTTTGAGCATTTTGAAAATTTAAAAAAATGGAAAAATCTATTTTTTTTTTGAATTTCGAATTTTTTTTAAAAACTTTTTTAAACTTTTTTTTAAAGCAATTGCGCTGCGTAGCTGTTTTAGAGATGAAATATCGAATTTGATGTGCATACGTGTTTTTTTTTTATAATTTTATTTGAACAGCGATCAGAACTTATGGGTTCTATGAGCTGTTGTGATTAAGATCTTACAAACTACGTTTGTTTTATTACAGATGGCAACCCAAACAGTTGTCACATCTCTGTATGATAAATTTTTATTACAATCTCTGTAATAGGGGCAAGTATGGTGCAACAATTCCGGGTGAGGGGCTATTTTCACTTGGAAACATATTGCTATCTATATTTCCAAGTGAAAATCGTTGTCAATGTTGCCTGACAACAGGCTGCTCATGCATACGTGTAATGATCATTTTTTGACCGCCAAATGTTTTTTTTTTTACTTTTTTATTGGATCTCCGAAATCGCTGGACCTGCCTGCCCAAAAATTTAATCAGTTGTTCATTTCATCAATACTAATAAAATGTTTTTTGGATTAATGAAATCGGAACTCCGTTCTCTTGAAAACTTAATTACTATTTTTGCAGTTTTTGTCCCGTAGATTTGAAATGGCTTGACCTTGCCTTGGCCAAAAACTAATCAGCATGTCAATAGGAATCGAATGTTTTTTGAATTATTCAAATCGGTTGATGCGTGTTCAAGATATCGTCAACGAAAATTTGTATCCGCACATACATACACACACATACATATAAATCAATTTTTTCTAATGTTTGACAAAATATTCAGAAACCTCTAAACGTAAAGATATATGAAAGTTTTCATTTTCGAATTTTTGCGATTAATATAACTTATCCTACGAGAAGTTAATAATTTGTAATCTTATGATGATTTGCCATTTAATTGGATATTTAATTCCATTTATACATCATTAATGACAAGTTTTCCACTTTCGTTTGCTAATTTTTTAATTAGGCGTAACGCTCTACAGACACTATTAGTTTCAGAGACTGAATTTACATTGGCACCGCATATGTAGAAGTAGAAGTTTTGAAATGCGTATAATCGTTCTCTCTTATCAGAAACGTAGTTATTAGAATTAATTAAGAAAGGCGATTACATTGTTGAGTTGAATATATTTGATGTGAGGAGCACGCGATAAAATACTTGACTATAAATATTAAAATGTAATAGGGAGCTGCGAGAGAATCAAGTGCGGCGGCGGACGCCAATGCTTGGTTGATCAAAACATGAAGCCTCACTGCGTGCGCTGTGCCGTGCGTGCCTGTCCGCCCTTGGCGAATTCTTCGACGAGCGATCGTCGTTTGTGCAGCGCGGACGGCGTGACCTACATGTCCGCGTGCTATCTGAGAGAAGCCGCTTGCAGGAAAGGTAGAGCGATACCGATCGCATACAGAGGACGTTGCAAAGGTTAGAAATTAAGAATACAGTAAGACTCGATTGCTTTACTATTAGACGAAAAACTAGTGGTATGTATATTACATCTATAATAATTAACTAGTGGGGCGCATGGCATCGTGCCTTAAGGCAAATTGCTGGAACTTCCCGTACCAAAAATTATTATTTTTTTAAAAACGATTAATATTTTTGAAAAAAATTTACTTCAAAAAAATTAGATTTTTGAGAAACTATAAATTTGACAAAAAATTACTTTTTTTGAAAAAAAAAATATTGAGAAAAAATGTGTTCTTTATTTTGACATATTTTGGAAATTCTGAACTTTTTTTTCAAAGCAATCGTATTGCTTTAACTGCATAGAGACGAAATGTCAAAGCGCGTAAACGCCGCGTTGCCGTCTAACGGATAAATATTGGTACGGAACCCATAGGAATGTAAACAAAATTTATACTTATTGTTAAAATCTCTATAAAATATCTGGTAATTTGATGTGCATGTGTCTTTACTTTACTTTTTTTTATTAGATCTCCGAAACCGCTAGACCTGCCTTCATGAAATTTGATCAGTTCTTCATCTTGTCAATACAAGTAAAATGTTTTTTGAATTATTAAAATCAGACGCTCCGTTCTCTTACATCTTAAATGAGTTACCATTTTTGGCACTTTTTGCCCCGTATCTTTGGAACGGCTAGACCTGCCTTCGCCAAAAACTAATCAGGACGTCTCCTTATGAATACGAATCGAATGTTTTTTGAATTATTCAAATCGGTTAATTAGTGTTCCCGAAATCGTCGACGAAAATTTGTATCCGCACACACACACACACACATACATCCATTTTTCTAAGATATGCCAAAATATTCAGAAACCTTTGAAACTTAAAGATATATAAAAATTTTCATTTTCGATTTTTTTGCGATTACTGTAACTTAACCTACGGGAAGTTAACGAGTGGTGCATGCCATCGTGCGTTAAAAAAATTGCTGGGACTTTCCGTACAAAATATTTTTAAAAAAGATTCAATTTTCTTTTAGAACTCTGAAAAAACTCGATTTTTGAGATTTTTAAAATTTTTGAAAACAATTGACCTTTTTGAAAAATTTGATTTTTTTTATAATTTGAAATATTTTGAAAATTTTGAACTGTTTTTTAAAACATTCGCAATATGTCAGCTGCGTAGAAACGAAATATGGTTTACCATTGGTACGGAACCCATAGAAAAGTAAACAAAATTTGTTCTTATTATTAAAATATTCATAAAATATGTGATAATTTGATGTGCATATGTCTAATGATCATTTTTGTCCGCTAAATGGTCACTTTTTTATTAGATCTCCGAAACCGCTAAACCTACCTTCACAAAAATTTCATCAGTTCTTCATTTCGTCAATACAAATAAAATGTTTTTTGAATCATACAAATCAGACGCTCCGTTACCATTTTTGGAACTTTTTGCCCCGTATCTCCGAAACAACTCGACTTGTCTTCGCCAAAATCTAATCAGCACGTCTCCTTATCAATATGAATCGAATGTTTTTTAAATTATTCAAATCGGTTGACCCGTGTTCCCGAAATCGTTGACGATAATTTGTATCCCACACACACACACACACACACACACACACACACACACATACACACACATACATCCATTTTTTAAAGTATGCCAAAATATTCAGAAACCTTTGAAACGTAAAAATATATAAAAAAAATATTTTCAATTTTTTTGCCTTGTTGCAAAAATTATAAACAAGCTAAGTTTCAAAACTACAATATGGCTAAACAAGCATATTAAACATTGCAGTGCAGGAAACATTGACATTCTACAAAAAAAAAATTGAATAAATGATTTTGTGTGTTTTTTTAATTTAGCTCAAGTAGATAAAATAATTATAGAATAAAATCTCTTTGCCATTAAAGTTTTACACAAAATCAATTGACTATAACAATGATTATATTTATAGATAATGCTACGTGCGACAGTATACGTTGCATGGATCGCCAAGTTTGCTTAAGTGAGCCTACAACGCAATTTCCTCGATGTGTAACATGTAGTTACAAATGCAAATCCAAAAACCATCGAATGCATTTGAATATCCGAGGTTCGATGGACACGGTACTCTGCGGTACCAATAACTTAACGTACTACTCCTGGTGCCACATGCTGCACGATGCCTGCTCTACGGGCTACATAATTGACACCAGACATGCTGGCGCCTGCAGAACCGATCGAGGTACCGATTACTTTAAAAGCTTATTAGGACGTTTATCATGATAATGATACGATTACTTATCAAAACTAGTGGTGTATGGCATCGTGTCTTAAGGCAAATTTCTGGAACTTTCCGTACCGTAATGAAATATTCGAAAAATTTCAAACGTTTTCAAATATATTATTACAAATACTGTAACTTTCATTATTTTTGCTATCTTTTTATATCTGAGCAAATCAAATGTAAATCATAAATAAATCAATTTATCTCCAGAACATTGACAATCGTCATTTCATTTCGAATTCAATTTCAAAAAAGTTGAAAAACTGCTCCCGTATATTCACAGTCTAAACGCATTTGCACTGTACTTAGCTTGGCGGCATTTTCACATTTTTCAATAGTTTTCACAAAATTGGAAAAGTGCTCCAGTGCATAACAGTCTGAACGCACTTGGGTTCAGTTCATTCAAACATTTGTGGCGCTTAGACTGTGCTTATCTTGGGCAATTTTTTGAATATTTAATCCAAAATTCAAAAATATTTTTTGAAAAAAAGAATTATAAATTTTTTTTTTCCAAAGCAATTATTTTGTTGAAACAAGTTGAAATTGACAGGAATCGAATGTTTTTTAAACCATTCAAATCGGTTGATCCGTGCGCCTGAAAACGTGGACGAAAAAATGCGGACATACAAAACACACACACACATATCCATTTTTTCTGAGGTATGCCAGAATGTTCAGAAACCTTCAAAACGTCGAGAAATGCAAAAAAAATTATTTTCGATTTTCGGCCCATTACTATAACTAGCCTACGGGAAGTTAAAAAATGCATTACAATAATCAAATAAATCAGAACGTTTAGGTTGCCGATCGACAATTATAGGATTTTCAATACAATGCTATATTCATCGATTTCCGAACATATACATAATACATATATGTATATCATTTTAAGATAGTTTCACTATTTGCTATTTAGATCGTAGAAATAATATAACGACTAAAATCTTGAATTTTAAATTTATTAACATAATATAATATATGTAAAAGTTGTTAAATCTTGCAAAGACTATTCATCTATTAATTAGTATTCATCTTTTACAGGTTCAACAACCAGAAAAAAAATTAGGCTCAGGTAAAATTCCTATTCAAACTCTAACAGTATGGTACCCAAAGCAGCAAATATGAATATTAATAATTAAACTAATTGTATATAATATTACAAAAGTTTTGTGTTACGCTCATATAAGCTTCCAATATTTAAGTTAATAAAGATAAACTAAATTATTTTATCAAATATACCAAATGATATTATGGATAAGTAATAAATATATGATTTTTTTTTAATTATGTTAAAACACTATAAAAACATACTTTTAATTTGATCGCTTTTTATCGTTATGTATAATATAGTATATTTAAAATCGTTTTTTTAAATTATTTTGCTACGTGCATGCATACGAATTGGACTATATGTATATATAAAATCACATTTGCGTTCGAATCGGTAGTAACAAAATGTTTGACGACCCTTTCACTGTCTTCAATGTGTAATTCAAATTATTTTTAGAAAAATGTAATGATACAAAATTCAAACTTACACTGATGATGATTCAAACCATAGTCTTGAGTCGAAATTAACTGTAACATAATATGACCATTAACATAATTTAAACAAGTTGTATAATTTAGACAATTATATGAATATGAAATAAACAAGCAATATAATATATTTCTAGGTACAATACAAATTTTATTTATAGAGATTTTTCATTTTGTTATTATAAAATTATCATCTCCTGTGTAAAAAATAATCTACATAGTATAATGTAAAAATATGTTATAAAATACACTTTTAAACTCAATTAAGTTTGAACAATTTAATTTCAAATGCCGATAATAGTTTGAATAAAAATTGTGGCGCGTAATAAATCTATTAAGCACACATCATTAAACTAATAATTTACAAGAAAAGCTAAATCGAACGAATTTTATCTTTTGATGTAAATATTTTAATAAATGCTAACATAACACAAATAACTATACTATAGTATGTAAATATAACATAACAATAATATTAACAAAATAATATTTTGACCCTCGTCTACGCCTAGATATTTACCACGTAATACTTATTGCGCTCTGTTGTATCTATTTTAAAAAATGTTATAAAATATATATATATATATATATATATATATATATATATATATATATATATATATATATATATATATATATATATATATATATATATATATATATATATATATATATATATATATATATATATATAATATATATATATATATATATATATATATATATATATATATATTACAACAATAGTGGGTAATTAACGTGTGATTAAACAAGTGAGATCATTATAAACCAGAATCTTTGTAGACAGTCCTAGTGAGCATTCTGATGCGAGACGGAGGTGACTACTCTAAAACCCCATTTCATACAATAGCATCCTGTGATAAGAGTACCGAGTATTCATTAAATACTACTTCGTATTACTGTGCGTCTGCGATAACTAAATATTTAATAACAAATTTACCAAATATATATTTTCAGATACACTAATCCGTATTGAAAATATTTAACACATCACCACAGATTTGACCAAGAAGTATGAAAAATTTCATAAATTCTATGATTACGTTCTATCCTGCCACTATACTTTGAAAACTAAATAAGTTGCAGGCCAAATGAATCCAATAAAAGAAATATAGCTGAGCAAAATTTTAGAACAAAAGCCTGATTAGAGCCACCACGTAAACGATTCTTGATTTGCAAAAGAAATTAAGTTGGCATCAAATAGTGCTCAGTTTAGATTCTCCAGAATGGTGAAAAAAATATCTAAGATTTGGAAAAACCACTTCTAAGGCCAAAGGCAGTTTTAATGTAACACAGGCACGTGTGATGATAATGGGCAATTGACCCAAGGTGCTATCGTTGTGATTGTGAATATTAGATTTAATTATATAATAATAGAAGTATTAGTTTTTATGAACCGAGGGTCAACGAAAAAAACAATAACCCTTCATTTACTGCATATTATATTTCTTAATCCTCGTCCTTAAAGCGACGATATATAGATTGCACATACGTAAACACACATTTCCAATCGGGTTTCCGCATCATAACCATATCTTCAACATCGAGTAGAGGTGCAATACCAGCCTCTGCGCTATAGTGCAAAAAAATATTAGTCACTATTTAATAATTTTATTAATTTAAATGATCAAACAATAATGTCATTGATCATAATCAAAAATTAATATTATATGATGTCTGTTAATATATGATGAGGTATTATTTTCCTTGCTTTTTGATATGCAAAGAACATAAATGAAATTAAAATGTTTTCAATAACTGACCTAGAAGCATGTAGACTATTATAAAATTGAAAAAAAAAATCAAATAGAATATAAAAGCAGCATGTTGTCACTACGACAACGGTTTTCACTTGAAAATATAGATAGCAATATATTTCCAAGTGAAAATAGCCCTTGGCCGACATTGCTGCACCAATGAAACCATCTAAAAATACGAAATAAAGTGAAGTTTCAGCCCGACATTATAGGACATAAGGTTCTATTAAGATATAAGAATTAAAAAAAGAATATAAAAGTAACCATTATAATGCACGAAATAAACATTATTAATTTTATAAAAAATATATTAAAATTATTATATAATACTAAATATCGAGAACATAATTCTCTTCGGTATCTCTGCTGGCTTATATGTTATAAATATAATTATATTTTTTTCAAGAAAAATTTCAAATTTTCATGTTTGTTGCCACATTATGAAACAATTTGGCAAACATACCACGTAATGACCAGTAGCAAGGTATTAAGGTTGAAGACTACCAATATTCTTTAATACATAATACGAAGTTTGATTGATTCCTTAGTTAGAACCGCGTCATTAAATTAGTTAAAATAAATTGTGATACGCTATATTTTTTAGATGAATTTATATGCATGAACATATCAACATCAAATAAATAAATTACAAATAAATAAACTTTGGATAGATATCTTAGAAAAAGTAAATGATAAAGTGTATACTTATATAATTAATGAACTCTATTAAGAAATGTATGTATATGAAGTGTGTGTATGTGTTATTAATACAGTGAAAATTAAATTCGGTTGAAACTTACTCAGCCACCCGGAAAGCCAAAGTAAAATTGTATCTTCTATTTTTTGGATTGAGTTTATGATAATCAAAGGCATTTGGAAGGAAGTGGTGTATTAAAGCGCAGAAAGCGAGACCATCCGCCCAACTCGTGCTGAAGTTGTCTATTTTTATATTCTGTAATTTGTATAAATTTAGTAATAAGTAATAAAGTATAGATAACTATAACATATATCTTATATATAGATAACTATAAGAGTGTAGGTATGTTTGAAACTAGATGATTAAAATAATCTTGATAATGTCTTGATTAAGTCTTTTAAATCGTATTTCGATGCTACATCACAGATGTCATCAAGGACAGAAGCTCGATCTACCTCTCAAAAATTGAGTGCCACTACAACCAGCTCATCACTTCTCTAAACAACTCTTCATCACTAAAAATAAGATGACTGAAAAGATGCTGGCCAAGCGACCTTAAATGAAACACTAGGCTTCACTCATTGGAGTGAACTCTAAAGAATTTTTTCCTTTTTTCTTTTTTTTTCTTTTATTATTATTATTATTATAATTATTATTATTATTTTCTTTCGATTCATCTCATTTGTGCCACAACATCTTATAAGATTAAATTGTATCTTGATTGCTATATATATATATATATATATATATATATATATATATATATTTCGATGCAAATATTAAATAATAGCGTCCGTAAACACAAAAAAATAAAAACATATATCGCTTGCAACTGCTTATAGAAAGTCTAGGCCCGCTTTCAGTAACAAAAACTTACTTTTAACTTATTATGGGATATAGTATACAACCTCTTGCTTGCACAATAATTATAACTTCTATCACTATAAGTATTTTTCGTATATTGATATTCTTGTGATAAATAATTGTCGTTCCTGTTGCAAAATAGAGTGTGTTATGCCAATATTGTGAAACAGAAACTATGCTGCTCAGGCTGTGCAGCTCATTCATATTGCTATTATATCATTTACATATGTATTTTGCATTATCTAATAGAATTCTGAAAGACATCTTAGGCGCAACAGAACGAGCTCTTACACCGGTGTTTTGAACAAAGTTTATGTTATAGTCGTAACGGTCTAGTTAGTGATCATGAAAGTTCTGAATATTGTAGCTAGTAATGTATAATTTTAATTTTTACACGTACTATGCAATTTTAATAGAATTCCACAAGTACTTTTCAAATTACCTCATATTCACTTGTTTTACTTTTCGCCCAATTTAGCAATCTCTCTTTAATACTGCAGACATTTTTAGCTAACTCAGGATCCGTGACTTTGAATAAAACTCCACCGGTTCCCGTCGGTGTTTTTGGGCTACTAAAATTTAAGAAAGTATAACTATTTAATAAATAGAAAAATCATTATTCTAATTTTTGATCGGCTTGTAATATAATAATATCACAAAGTAAGATTGTTTTCAGTAAAATTTGAACTTGCAAGTAATAATTAAACTTTGCATATGGTCATAACAATACATACATAATAAAACTGAACAATAATATTGAACAAACTTATAGATAAAATTAGACATTTATTGACTCATATAAATTAAAATGTTAAATTTGCATATATCAGATATATTCAATAAGTACCTTGGCATAATTCCTGTACCACTGTTCTGTCGGTCTAATTGTTTAAATTTTGCAAATGGTGACATCGGTTTAGCAGGAACACTATTTGATTTTGTTAAAGTAATGTTAGCTGGTTTAGTTGATACAGCTGAAAAATATAATACTCGTAAATATGTTAGTGGCATTATATAAGGCAATACATCAAATAAAAGAAATAGAATAAAGGGATACCTGTTAATCTGGACAAAATACATACATACACATATAGATGGCGTTGTATATTATATATATAATAACAAAAGAGTAAATTAAATATTGTAAACGTCAAAAAGTGACATATAGAAATAAATATTGTGGAGAGTACTAATGTGTGTTGATAGAGATCGACCAAACTTAGCAAATCAGAAGTAACCTAAAGACATTGAGATCTGAAATTGTGAGACTAAGTTTGCGACATTTCAATAACAAAAAAATATGAGTGAGCCACAATTGATATACCAAATGTATTTAGAAAGCAGACGCCGTGGAAATGTAATATTGAGAATGCTTGTATCGATAGTTCATAATGAAGAGTTCAATGATGAAGAGTCCAATGATGAAGAGTCCAATGATGAAGAGTCCAATGATGAAGAGTTCAATGATTTAGAGTCCAATGACGAGGAGTCCAATGATGTAGAGTCCAATGTTGCAGTGTACAATGATGAAGAGTCCAATGATGAAGAGTCCAATGACGAAGAGTCCAATGACGAAGAGTCCAATGACGAAGAGTCTAATGATTTAGAAACCGATGATGAGGAGTCCAATGATGTAGAGTCCAATGATGTAGAGTCCAATGATGTAGAGTCCAATGATGTAGAGTCCAATGATGAAGAGTACAATGATGAAGAGTCCAATGATGAAGAGTCCAATGATGAAGAGTCCAATGATGAGTCCAATGATGTAGAGTCCAATGTTGCAGTGTACAATGATGAAGAGTCCAATGATGAAGAGTCCAATGATGAAGCGTACAATGATGAAGCGTACAATGATGAAGAGTCCAATGATGAAGAGTCCAATGATGAAGAATCCAATGATGAAGAATCCAATGATGAAGGGTCCAATGATGTAGAGTCCAATGTTGCAGTGTACAATGATGAAGAGTCCAATGATGAAGAGTCCAACGATGAAATGTCCAACGATGAAGAGTCCAATGATGAAGAGTCCAACGATGTAGAGTCCAATGTTGCAGTGTACAATGATGAAGAATCCGATGATGAAGAGTCCGATGATGAAGAGTCCGATGATGAAGAGTCCGATGATGAAGAGTCCGATGATGAAGAGTCCGATGATGAAGAGTCCGATAATGAAGAGTCCAATGATGAAGAGTTCAATGATGAAGAATTCAATAATGTGGAGTCCGATGAAGAAGAGTCCAATGATGAAGAGTATAATAATGAAGAGTACAATGATGAAGAGTACAATTGCAGTTGCATTTGTGAAGAGCCATCAGTCCATTAGCGAGGAATTTGTGAAGAAGAAACAAAAACATGGATTTCACGCGTGAAGAAATAGAAAAGACAAAATATAAAGTGGCAAAACATAATGACAATAGAAATACCGAAACGAAATGGCGTAAATATGGGACATGAAAAACAAATATCCAAAATATTATATCTACATTCTCGAGGACGAGAATGAAGTCAGGACAGCCGAATGTTAGAGACATATACATGGCGGTCTCATATATATATATAATAACAAAAGAGAAGATTATATATAAGAGAGATATATGAGTGAGAGTCAAATAATGACATACAGAGATGAATATTGTAGAGTGTATATAGAGTAATAAAGAAGTAAAGAGTCAATGAGTGTTGATAGAGACCGGCTAAATTTACCATATATATATATATATATATATATATATATATATATATATATATATATATATAAATACTAGATGACCCGACAGACGTTGTCCTGTACCCATGTCTACAATTCAAAAGTTACAATTTTTTGTAATAACCTATACTGATATTTACCAATTAGTTAAAAATTATTATGTTTTTTACACTACACATTTTACCGAAATGTATATACATTAGGGTGGTCCTTAACTTAATTTATCGATTGACACTTCTTAAGCACATATTAGTAACAAATATATGCAAGTAATTTTTATTGTGCGCTCTATCTAAATGTTTATAAAAAGAGCTAAAACTTTCAGAAAATCATTTTTTTTTTTTGATTTGGAAGCAATTGCGCCCCTGGGAGCAAAGAAATTCGAAAATGTCCTTGTTAAGGACCACCCTAATATACATATATATATGGGTGATCTTAAATGTACAACTGTTCTAGAGAAAATGATGAGTCTCAAAACCCACACTTAACTCTAATAATTTGTTCTTAACTCCAATAATTTTGTTCATTACATGATTTTTGTTAAAATGTATATTTTTATGAATATTTGCGAAAAAAACGATAAAAAACGCCTAAAAGAAACGAATTTTTAGTAGCCACTAACTTCAAAAGTATTTGTTACTTGAAAAACATTATAAAACATATCTTTCTTATAATTAGTGTTTCTATCGATATCCGGCGTTATTTTGAAAACAAATAAAACCACTGAAAATGGGTCTCATCCAACCGTGGAGTCTAAATTATTTTCACATTTGAACTTGACAGTAAGATGAGCCTAATTCCAGATATTCATGCAAATTGGAGCACTGTAAAAAAATTCAGATCAAAAACGCTCCATTGACTTGAGTATATATTCGGTATCCAATGGCAAAAATATGAAAATATGAAACTTCTAAATAATTTTTTGAAAAAGTAATTTTTTTTGTAGTGTGATTTAGTAATGTAAGGCAAAACACGACTGCATTAGTTATAAAATAATAATCTGTCAAATTGAATTAAATAGACTCTACTTGATACTTATAAGACCGTTACTGCTATACGCCGCTTCAGCATGGAACGTGACAACTAAGACCAACCGACGGAGACTATAAACTACAAATAGTACAAAACAAAGCCTTACGACTGGTACTCGGCAAATCAAGGGACCCACTGACGAGACACTATTACCCCAACAAAAGATTTACATGAACAAATTGACGTACCGACTATACTATACTATATACTTGAACAATTTAAAAAGCTCACTGAAATTTTTCACCAGAAATGTAGGGATTACCACAATAATGCCATCTGAGCACTAGGCCAATATACTCCGGAAATAGGTTGATATGGTAAACATGCCATGCCAAACTATTGTCTGATCAAGCCCTAGCAGCAATGTTATGCGTATCCCATTAGCAAATACTGAAATTAGGACATTTTGGGGGGAATAGTGAACTTTTCTCCTTTTTTTGTCCAATTGTATCTATGTCAATAACTATTGAAGTAAAATATGAAATAATATCATATAAACATGGATTAAGTAGAATACCCTAAGGCTTAAGGTAATATACTCAAGCTTTTGTAAATGTTGTGTACATGTAACAATGGTACCCATATAGCGAAGTATATCTTTTTTGTCTGTCTGTCTGTCTCTCTGAATTAAATAGGGTATATTTACTAACAGTCCACAACCGTCAGACGCATGCGCAGACTGTTGATTTGTCAAATATATAATGTATCTTATATTATTTTATATAATATAATAATAATGTGGACATTACATTTTTCTTATTCATAATCATAAATATATTATATTTTAATATTGTCTTAGCCTATAAGTGATTTGAAATGTTTGGTAGAAGACAGTCTTCATTACAATCTAACTATATTTCTATAAATCAAAAAATTCCCTTAACAAGCTTCAGAAAGATTTATCAAAATCCAAATCATCGTTTAGGAGGATTATCTTTTAACCACCATTACAGTAGAATTTTATATATAAGATATATATATATATATATATATATATGTATATATATGTACCTATCAATAAATGTAATTGATATTTTTTTATTATATGCCTCCCCAAATTGTCGTTCATTGTGTAATCCTGATATATTTTCAACTTTCTAACCCGAAAGAATATTTTCGCTTGAAAACATAACATGGTTTTGGTCTGTATAAATTAAAAATGGATATCGCTACTGCCTTATACCAGATTGCGCCCAATGGGGAATTTGAACTCTGAAGCCTGTGGTTGGCAAGGTTGATACTCTACCACTGCGTCACATCTTTTTTTGAACTTTCAAATTCGAAAGTTTGAGAAGAATTCAATTGATTTGAAAATTTGAAAGTTTGATTTTTATTTTAAAAAAAGGTGAAGATTTTGAAAAATCATATTCTGCGCCTATTATTATCGCCTATATATATGAATACAACATGGATCACACAACTGCTATGGCAACTAATATAGAAGCTATTTTTGACCTGAATACATCATTGATTTTATTTTTGCGTTCAATCAAGTTTTCTCTGCTCTATTTTTATATGCAAGATTTTGGAACAATGAACGGAAAAGTCGAAAATATTTTTGTTTGACTCTCGAAAACAAAGCTATAATATGCACAGAAAATATGAGAAGTACATTTCACATTATGTATGATATATATATATATATATATATATATATATATATATATATATATATATATGTATGTATATATAATATATATATATATGTATATATATAATATATATATGTGTGTGTGTGAGTGTGTGTGCGTGTATAATTGTTTTTAATACTCTATTTATAATATGCGCCAGCTCAAAAACGTTTAAGTGCTTTCCTCGCCGTCCTGAATTAAAAATATTTTGCATCTATATTTTTTAAATAAATAAATATCCAATAAACCTAAGATTATTTGCAAACGTCATTGAACGGGTAAAACCAATAAACGTTTATTATAAATGAAAAGTACTAATAAATGGCAACAATGATGTCACGCACAGACCATTCTGAAAGTAATTTTTTGAAGACTGTAAATTTTTAACATTTAAATACAAGAGTAAATAATACAAGAGTAATACCTAATATTAAATGGGTTTAATAATGAAAATATTACAGATAAAATATCAATCGCATTTAAAAACTTACCTCATATAGTTAATATGCACATTATAATTATTTGTGATATATTTTATCAAAATCTATAAGGAATTACGGTCACTAATTTTTAATTTGAATTTTTGTTTTACAATTTTGTATGCCAATTATAGATTTAGTTTTATAAGTTTTTTTGAAGTGGATCTATGATCTGATTTTGGTAAGATTTTACTCTGATTTTTTGTTTCATTATTTCATTATTTGAATGATTGTTAACTTTTACATGCAGTAACGGAAACGTTACCGCATGTAACGCTGGGCTATCGTTTAATTATGAAGCATAATAAAACTGTAACATAGGGCTTTCATATTTATTCATTAAGATGCTGATTTGATCACTCAAGGTGCAAAAAATCTTGCAAGAGGAACAATGCGCGTGGTGCTCACACTTTCGTATCGCTCTAATTCTCTTGAAATTTATAATATAGCAAATGAAAATCTAGTGGTGTATTTCAATTTTCTGATTATTTTGTAGTTTTTTAATTGTTTGAAAATGAGTCCAAAATGTTCGAATTATTTTTTTTTTGTTTATAAAACTCACCAGACTTGCTTGCCACTTTAGCATCTTTATCGGTGTCTGCCACTGCTTCTGGAACAAATATAAATGATTAAAAATAGCGGAATGTTTGCATTTAATAATTTTTCAAAATACCATTATTTTCAGCCATAACTTGAACAAATGTTGTGTTGATCGTGTTTTTTGTGTTGTGCCCAATGTTTTTTGAAGTTCTCACTGCAAAATAAAAGCGATGAACTCAGAAAAATTTTAATGAACAGTAATAGTATCGCTTAAAAATTCATTACATTCCATGATGTTATGCATTTCAAGATCTTTTATGATAGTTAACTAAATGCAATGTATGTACAAACACTTTATTCTTTATAGATAAAACCTGAACAAACTTTGTTTTAAAAAAGTATTAAATGGAATCACATAATAATATCACACATAAAATATTTGCTTTATTTTATTTATAACACTTTCAAAATTAAAATAAAACAGTGGTATTACCGTAATACATAATTTTATGTACCGATCGCATCAATTAACGAGAAATAGAGAACACTGATATTGCAAAGAATAACTTGCTAATCCTCAATGAATTTTATCGTCGAAATATTTTTGAATTTGTCTAGTAAATCATATTTATATGTAATGAAGATAAAATTTCAGGTTAAAGAATGTTTGAGATAATACGCCATATCAAAGATTAGTGCTTTCTTCCAAACAATTTTCAAATATTTTATGTTTGCATATACTACATATATATGTATATGTATATTTTCGTCAAATGTTTATTTACAACGAACTATTTATTATGTACGTTTCGACATTGTATGTGTATCATCTTTCAGCAAGTTAACAAGTTCAAATCAGGAAAAAACACAAAATTAACAAAATTTCAATTCAATTTTCAATCAAGTAAAAAGCTACATAATTTTACAAATTATTTTTATATTTTATTTTAATTCAAAGTTTGCTTTTTCGGTTTTAATAAAGATTGATTTAATTTTGTGTGTTCTTTCCTGGTTTCAACTTGTTAACTTGCTGAATGATAGCAAACATAGAATGTCAAAAAGTATTAAATTACTTATAGTTTTTTATTTTGATTATTTGGCTGCATATATTTTTATATATATATATATATATATATATATATATGTATATATATATATATATATAAATGTATACATATATTAGTGTGAAAGATTTCACATTGCCATTTCACGCAGCACTGCCCGAAATGGACTATTTTTTATTGGAAACATCTTTTTCATCTACATTTTTTCAGGGCACGATGTCAGATTGTCCAGAGCGGGGTTCGAACTCAGACCCCGTCCACAGGAGCCAGTGAGCTTAACCATTATACCATGAAGTATCCATATATAAATATATATATATATATATATATATATATATATATATATATATATATATATACATAATGTATGTGTATGCTGATTGTTTACATTCATGTATACATAAAAATAGATACAGCATTATTTGAGGTAAAACTAGAGTAAATCATTAGTACTGAAGGAAATATATCAGAAACAGGAAATACTAACAATACAAAATTCGATTTCATAATAGAATGAAGCGCACGCAATACCTATGTGTATGTGTATGTATATATATATATATATATTTATATATGCTTACTAACAAAATAACATAATTATATTTTAAGATTTTTTTAATAAAATTTGATAATTTATAAACTATTGAACTCACCTTGATAAGTGGATACTGAATGAGATTCACCGAAAATATATTAAAATAGTTTTTAAAATTCGACACAGAATAATCACAACAATAAAACTTCCTGTACGTCGATCACTATACTTTTTGCAATCTATTATTAAGCGCGAACGAAAATAAAATCAACTATTGTGATCGGTGATCTGATGCGCCCAATGTCGGAACACAACTGTAGCACGCATGGCTTCGCCACCAGTTAGCTAAGCTGCTACTGTAAACACATTTCAATGGAGAAACAAATCCAGAGTTGCACTCAAAGATGGGCCGCTGATGCTTTTGATTCCTCTACTTCGATTTATACACAAATACATTTTCCAAACCTTGCGTGAGTTATAGTATTCAAGTTTAATATTCAACGTGAACCTGCAAGAGCAATATTAATACACATCTTTATATGTGATTCCATTTCTCAGTGGCTATTGCATTACAAAAATAAAGATAGATGCTTCAATAGGTTCATTTTCATAATTAAGCCAAGTAAATTAACTTTCATGATTCAGAGAAATAAGGAAAACTAATAAAATTTTGATGCGTTATCATCAATTTAAGGTACTACCGCAAAAATATCAAAATCTAGTTGGTATTGGTATTTAGCCTTGAGGCAAGTTACATGAACTTCCTGATATGTGTAAATAATCGACTTAATCAATAAAAAATAAATTAATTTATGAGTGACTAAAAGTATTCTGAGTGAATTTATTACATATATTTGGAACGTTAACTAAAAGCAAATATTCACAAATCAATAATTTTTATAATTGAACCAGATTCCGTAGGTTTAGTATGTTCATTAAGACCAAGTGCTCTATCGTTATATCAAATAAAAACAAACGTCAAAAAACTACTCATTTTTTCAAACTTTGATGAATTTTTAAAATTACACTACTTGTCGTAAAGCCGTAATATTTCAGTAAGTTTTATGAGACCATGATATATACGCCAAAAAAAGTTCCATAAAAATCGGGTTAAATTTTTTTGTCAACAGTTAATTACAAGACAACGGCTCGGTAGATTTTCACTTCAAACTAATCAGTATCCTTCAGGTTTTTTTTTTTTTTTAAATGAATTTGAGCTTAAATGTGGACGAAAAGTTTAACACCTTTTTCTAAATTACAAAGAAACAGCTCGGCCGATCGCTGCTCAAAACTGAGAAAAGATAATCCACATCAAAATACATCGATTGGCTTTCAAGTTTTTGAAATCGGTTCAAGTGTTTTTGAGCAAACGTCGATGAAAGTTATAATTTTGACAAACGCCAAAAAAACGATACTAATTTTTGCAAACTTTGACGAATTTTTAAAATGATCTTTAGCAAAAACTAATCAGGTTGATTCCCAACCTATATCTTTCGAACAGTTTTTGAATTTTCAAAATCGATTCAGAATTGCGAGCTAAAACGTGGACGAAATTTTTTTCACTATTCTGCGATTTATAAAGAAACGATCGTCGCACAAAACTGAGAAACGTTAGTCCTCATCGAGATACATCGAATGGCTTTTAACTTTTTAAAATCGGTCCAGCCGTTTTTAGAAAATGTCGATTTACAACAAAAAATCTGTTCACACACACACACTTTTTCCAAATTTGGTCTCATTCGATTCAGAATGACTTGAAACGTCGGGAAAACATAAAATTAGCTAATCGGATTTTTTTATGAAAACAAACTTCTCCTTTGGGAAGTTAAAAATATACTGCTCCAATTAATGAGGTTGTATTGTACATGATTTCATGGGCTGTAGAATTTATTTGAAATATTCTATGTAAATTTAAAAAAAATCGTATTAATTGGCAATATCGGAATCTATCTCTATGAACTGGCTTGCAGATATTGGTTAGGAGTTGGGCCATATGTCTAGATATAATAAAAAAAATTAATATCATACATAAAAGACATTTTATAGGTGTGGAAGCGTACGGCACTGAGCAACTAACATAAATAATGCAAACTTGGCCCCGTGCCAAATAAAGCAAAGAAGATGTAATTTACGAGAAGATAAAGTGTGCCTGTGAAACGCCTATTTTTATAACATCCATAAATAAATTAATGAATCTATTATGATACGATATTGTAACTAAAAACTTACAGATTAAAGCTTTCTGTAAATTCGCTTCAGCAGATATTTAAATCAATGCGTGGCAGAGATTATCGTGACCCAAGTCTCTGCGCAGTGACTACCAAAATAAATTCGGCGGAGATGTTAGGATATGGATAGCATATTCGAATGTTAACGGCTTGAATTCGAATACGAAAACAAACAGTTTTTATAGAAACTACAAAATATTAATCATTACATACTACTTCTTTGTAGAAGAAGTCATTAAAATTGCTAGTAACGGATGACATCATGTTTTAAAGCAATTTTGCTTAGAAATTTGTTTTCGTCACAAAAATAGTTTTCTCAAAAACGGAAGCACAGATTTAAAAAAAAATAAAAGTCATTTGATATATCGGCCCCAGTCAATTCTTCAGAATAAGCAGAAATGTGCAAAATTCTTTCGCGTTATCGTAAGAAATCTAAAGACTGTGCTGATTACGATCTAAATCAAGGGTAATTTCTTCATAAGTAAGAAATTTATTTCATGTTGATTAAAATTTGAAATAATGGGCCGCGTCAAAATTTCAAAATTGTATCTTTGCAGTTTAAAAGTTGCTGAATCTGGTTTCTTCAAAATGTATACATATCGCGAAGTTCATGCAAGTTGCCTTAAAGCAATAATGCATCAATAACATATATCAAAGCTAAAGATGCCTTTAAACCTACCGATTAATAAAAATAAGAATGATCGCAATTGAAATATCTAGAATAGTAATGCTCAAAAGAATTATAAGCTATGAATAATGGACCTGCCTATTTCTACTATTCCATGTATGTAGCTGGCTCTCTCTCGAACTGGTTATCTGCAATGAAAAAAAGCTAACAATAATAAATGGCAAACTAGAAAAACCCTAATAATAAGTTAAAAACTATCATTTAAAAATTAAAAATTATAAGTAAAGTTAAACCAGAAAAATCATGACAAAATTTTGTCATGATTTTTCATTGCGTTAATTACAAGAAAGCCGACTTGGTCGACCTTATTTTCATCAAAATCGACTAAAAATTATCTTTCATATACGCTAAATAAATTAATATTTAAATCGTTAGAGATTTTAAATAAAATAATTACATTTACAAAAAAGTTAAATGTTGATTTGAGATATGAAATATTTTATTGCATTTATTGAAAAATATAAAAATCTTTTTCGTCTGTCCACGATTGCAAAATTATTCCTGTTCCCAGCCGTTCCTTTTAAAGAAATTAGAGTTTCTTTTTCGCCATATGCTTAAATTGATTAGATAATTGTATGTACCCCGAGACCGTGTTGTGATCACATTCTCCTCAATAACGACAAGGAATCACCAGTTATCGGACGGATCTCAAGAATAAAAACATCTCTAGGAGACGCAGGCATCGTAAATCCTACAGAACGCTAATGTTCAATATTGCAAACTGGACTAGCTCACACATAAAATTAATTATTAATAGGTAGTACGCATTTACTCGAAACTCCATCATACACCGGCAAGCCGATTAAAGCGGCTAGAAATGTACTCAAGTCTCGATTGAGTTTTCGTTTGTATTACATTTAAGAAGAATTCTGCATTTCGAAACGAACACCGCTATTCGTTCAGGCATCTGGCGATACCCATAGCAGATAAATATATATGGCAATATTCTCACACGATGCAATAACGCGTTAAGCGGCAAACCGCGCCATACTATATTTTTGCCCTTCGTGTCTTGAATGTAATAAAGCGCTGAAAATTAACTCTAGTGGTCGTTAAGTAACAGTTTTTGCGACTTAATCCTGTCGATCGTCAATGAATCGAAAGATCCGCCTTTGCAGAACTACGGAAATCATGTTACGACTTTTACGTCCACCTTCCTTCTGGAAAAATATGCTTATGACCTACAACGACCAAACCCGTAACAAAAGATTGTTGGGCACAATGAACATTAGGTTTATTAGCAAGCTGGAGTTCCGTTCATTATCAGAATTATCCGGGTAAACTATCTCAGCCAAGAAGCAAGAATGTGCTACCATCCATTGATTCAAAATCTCTCAATATGGCAATTTCTTTGATGTCCGGCCGCAGTTATGTTTTCCGTACTGAATTGAATTCAACCGTAAGTTGTTCTCCTGTTGGTGCCCTACCGACATTTTTTTTTTAAGTTTCAGCTTTACAACCATATTTTACTCGGAAACCAAAAGGTTTGGTTTTCCGTAAGCTACCCGCCGCTAATCACCAGGAACGTGGAGAAATGATTGATGAAATAATGAATGATTTTGATTGATGAAAACAAATTTGGCAAATGGTTTCGCTTCTGTTCCTCTTTCGACGATCCAAAAAACTTGGAATTCTGAGAACTAACAAAATATAACCGAGTTCCTACTTCATCATTCCATGTACAACTATATTGAGGCAAATAAACCTGCTTCAAGGATTCTAATTTGTTTAAAGTGATCGAATGATTTACCCTTATTCCGCGTCACATGTCGCAGAATAGCATCCGCGACGAAAAGAGCCTGTCCAGAATAGCAGAATAGAGTCAAACTGAAAGCAGAACAAGCCGTCCACCGATTGGCATAAATCTAAATGAAAGCATTCATCTTATCTCTGATCAAAACTCTATCTAAGAATCTATAACTTTTAACCTTAACGTGGCTTGCACTGACAATGAGACAACGTATAATGGCAGGATCAATCAGTGAACATTACAAATAAATGCACGACGATAGCGTAGAAATTTACTTAGTTATGAACTTCCATTAGATACCCATTACTAGAAACTTTTCAAAGGCTATTAATACTGAATTGCATATGTGTAAAAATATTAAAATCTCCTAGCAGTAGCAAAACAATATGTAAAAAAATATAGAGCTATTTTTACAATTGTATAATTAACTTTATTTATATATTTCTAATTTAAATGAATACATGTGTATATACTCTTTGGTTTTCCTATTTTATAATATCTGACTTTTTTTATCATTTTAATTTAATTTGTAATAGTTTAATAATTATCATTGATTTGCATACACTCATATATATATATATATATATATATATATATATATATATATATATATATATATATATTTATATCTGAGTGTGAATTTGTATATGTTGGGGTGTATGTGTATATGTGTATGCATATGTATAAGCACAAATATGTATACCAATAAAACTAATAAAGTTGGTGTTTGTGAATGTGAACGTAAAAATAAATATTAATGTAACAATAATATATATATATATATATATATATATATATATATATATATATATATATATATATATATATATATATAATTAACAAATTTTCAAAGACAATATACATAATATGAAATTAAAAACAGAATATAAAAATTTCTTTGTAAATAATAAGTGTGTGTATTAAAATGACATCATTTTGTTAGTTGTAGCATCATAAATCTTTTATTTATGTAGTTGATATATAGTGCCTTTGAAGATTGTCAATACACACACATGTATATATATATATATATATATATATATATATATATATATATATATACGGAAATATGTGGAAATAATCCAAACTTCAGTACCCATGCATTATTTTTGTTAATTATTCATATATCTTACAAATGCAAAAAAGTGATATATAAATTTTAAGCCCAATATATCTGAATATTTTGCCAAATAGATTTCTAAATATGTTGAAGGTAATGTAATTTATAATATATTGGTTATTGTTATGTAATGAAGTGTATTCCTAAAAATATGAGTATTATTTCATTCTGTAAAATATTTAAATAAAAATATAAAACATAACAAAATCAACAAAGAGCTATACGCTATAACCAAATATGTGATACTACAATATTGTTTCAAACCCCTACCTAGGTGATTTATCATTTACCACAAAGTTCAATAATTTAATGTTGAGTGGATTCAATAATTATATTAACCACTATCTATTTTACTTATAAAATTATTTCAATGGTAAATAACTTAATGAGAAACTCATTATTTCGTGAAGACAGTTTTCTTCGGCAATAAGGTAGTATTACATATACGGCTGTAACTTATATAAAGTGTAATTACAGGCAGTCCTCATTTTCAAATTTTACTAATTTATGACATACAATTATTAAAGTATGCCATATCATATATAAGAGTAAACATAAAACACTACATATTGAAAGAAACATTTTGGCAAATGACTGCAAAAGTTTGATATCTCATATTGACCAGATACCATTGATTTACACATATCCAAACTAAAATTAAAGTAATCAAAAATTTGATTTTGTTCATTCAGTAATGATATTTTTGCTATTATATCACATAATGACAATGACTTAAATATAAAAATTGGAATCAAAATATTGATAAAAAATTTAAAATATCAGAAGTTAACAGATAATAATACCTGAAGTTCATGGCACAAAAAATCATGTAACAACATGTATCATTCCCCAAGACTAATATAAGCACATATGTATATATCTATATGTGAGCATATATATATATATATATATATATATATATATATATATATATATATATGCACATAAATAACAAATTAAATAAAAATTCTATATAAAATTTAAATTTTAGTAGTTTCAGGTATTAGCAATGCAATCCTCCTGTTACAGTCTTCAATCGAGTTAGTATAAATAAATTATGTAAGTTGAACTATCTTAATATAAGTTTTGTATTGTTGATAAAAATAAATCATTCATTGCAATTTTGTTAATAAAATTGCTTAAAAATCCATAAATTCTAGTTAAAATTAATATCTATACATGTAAAACATTCCCAGTCACAATCAGTCACCATTAGTAATCAATAAAAAATATAAAAAACAGTCTGACAGTAAACTAAAGATTAATTAATATTTCTAATAAAAATATCCAATATATATATATATATATATATATATATATATATATATATATATTGGTTATCTTTTCAATCAATGATCTACTTTTTATTTATATATATATATATATATATATATACTTCAGTCAAATACATACTAAATTATTTAAATTAGATAATTGAATGTTTAAAAATGTTTTTATAAATCACAAATAATTCGAGACTGCCTGCATAACGCACAAGCACCAGAAATCAACATAAATACAAAAATTCATATGTTTTACACTCACTGACATATTTGCACTTGTGGTAATAGTAATGCATATTACAACTGCATATATATATATATATATATATATATATATATACATGTATGCATATGTACCTATATTAGTATAAATAATATAATACGATTTATGTTTAAGTGTGTACGTATGCATGTTACGTGTAATTGTATAAATTACATACTATTTTTTAAAATCGAATAATGGCTATGTTATCATTATATTAATATTTCTTAAAAAATGTTTACTAGAAAACTGCTTTGTATCCATATTTATATGTACATTAGCCGTATGTGTTAACAATATCACTGAGAGAACAAATAATTTATTTTTTATTTATGTAATAAATCTACAAGCTACTCATCTTAAATAAATTATTTCTATATAAAATTTATTTCAATAAGTTTTGACATATTTTATCAGACTAGTCAATAGCATGTACATGTTTTCTATAACGCATTATCATATGATAACAAATCATAATATAACAAAACTTAAATATTCGTAATAATAATAAATTCAAAAATAATATATGTTTGAATGTTGCAATTTTGAATCGTTTTGTCATTACACTCGCTTTTTATTTGGACCCTTTCAAAACTCTTAGTATGTAAATGAAAGATTAAATAAAATTTCAATAGTCACTTTTCTCTGAAATCAACTAAGAACCTTCTCATGCGCCGGATGGGTTTCATTAAGGACAATATACAATATATGAATAACAATAAAGATTGAATAAGATAGAAACGTTTCTTATTCATTGTCATGCGAGTTACAGTCCTACCGCCTGAGAAAGCTTTGATAATAACGCATATAATATTTCAAATCGCAACATTCGATAATTCACACACAAAGTCAAAATTCAATATCACCATAGTTAATTTCTATCTTATATACGCACGAACGCTACATTTTTCTATTAGATTATTATTTAATAATTGAACCATAAGCTTATAAATACGCATATAAATATATATATTTATATAGTAGTATAAATATTATATATTTATATAGTAGTAATTTAAAGTAGTATTACTTCATATTATATATTATTTGAAACGATGTTAAGATGCAAAACAATTGTTAAAGTTAGAATAAATACACTTTAAACGTCTTGTACAAGTTGTATGTGCATTTTTGGTTATCACCTCAGTTCATATACTTGCAACTTGTTTGCTTGATTCAAACATAAACCAATATATGGGCAAATATTGTATGAGCACTCATTAAATAATTCATTTGGCAATCAAATTTAAGCAAACAATTAGTATAATTAAGGGTCGATCATTTCAAACATTGCTTGATGCAATATAATGATTAATATTGTAGTAACCGGATAATCGACAGACAATTTCAGTAAGCGTCCAGCAGTCGCACAATCAATTCAATAAACTTGATGTGGTAAGACAAATCATATAAATATGGGAAACTAAATGGTTCAAAAAATGATTAATAAATTAATGCATATTGTAGTGATAAAATGTATTGTTCAGAGGTAATAGCATTGTTGAGGTAAATGTGTCCTTGAACAATGTTTTCCTATATCATTTTGCCCAAAAACCTATAATGAGAATAAAACGATCGACCCTGAGATATATAAAGTATTAAAAATAGTATCATCACAATCTATAATTGCGTCTTTATTTTAGATATATTGGATAAGGGAATTTCTACAGACGTTATATATTGGCGATATACGGCGCCGATTAAAAATAATTTTGAAAGTTGCAAGAAAAATAATATTAACTCAAAGCAATGCCAAACACAATATCTTGTGCAAGACAAACATTAGACATCACTTATAATTACTATTTTTTTCATTATATTAAAACACATTCATAAGAAGCACTTTATGACTGGAATATGATTTTTTATTTATATTATGTTTTCATCACTTCTAGTATATATTATTTTGCACAAAATGTGCAAAAATTATGAGAGATCGTTAGTTTATTAGAAAGTTACTATTAAATATCTAATACTAACCTCAACCTATAAATATTTAAATATATTTTTAATTTTTCGTGTGTGTTATCATAGTTTGTATTTTTACATAAATGCTGATAGGACTAACATCGTCGATACCGTTATTTCATCCAATAAAAGTCATGTTATCTTTTATACAAATTGCACAATTATACGTATAACTTTTGAAGACCACTTTTATATAAGAGTTCAAATTTTAAACGAGCAATCCCTATATCGAAATATTCATTCAAATTGTCCTAATAATAAAATGGAAGATATTTTCACTCTTAAAATAACGATTTCAAAAATGAATATTTCAGATTGAATGATAAAATTGGAAGTATTGTACAGTGAATAAAAGATGTTTGCTCATAGTATTAAATAAGATGAGATTCGCTCACGCCCGATAGATGTAGCTGCAGGGTTCGGGTGGTTCTGGCGAGACGTGTTGTGTCGGCGAAGGACTATGAGACGAGGAAGGCGGCGAGGGAGACGGGCTGCTATTCGAATTGCTGCAAGGTGAACCGCTGTGGCTGCCAGAGTTCACTGCGAACATAGACGACAACGGCATGTTCACTATTAACTAAACGGCTATTACTAGGGCGCGATCAAAGGCATGGCCATTATGAAAATTACACCTTATGCAACATGTATAAAATAAAAACAAACACATACAAACAATAGTCCGTAAGCAATTTCATCAGAAAAAACTGTTGCATTTAACCAACAGATTATGTTGTAACTCACCCAGAGCATGAATTGCATTATTACGACCTCCCTGTCGGTGCCGAGGCCGCGACAGGCTTCTCCCACCTATTCCAATATGTGCCGCCTCCTCGCTTGTTTCTCAGAGATAAACCTTTTTAACACTTCGTGTTGTTGAGAATCCCTCTCCTCTTCGGTACTGATCACCCTGAATTATTTACAAATTGTATACGAATTTTGAATAGAGAACATAAACATAATATGAATAATATTATCAAATAGTGCCTATAAATATTAAAATTTAGGCATTTTAACAGATTTCAATAAATATTGTTCAAACATTATTTCTTCTCAATACAAGCGAAGGAGGAACGATTAAAGTAGTATGTCGAGGTACCACTGTACTAGCAAAATTTGTAATAAGATTCGATATTTATAACCATTTTTATCACCAACATAAACAATGATATCATATATTGCAATATATTTATTAATAATCTTTTTGGTTAGTTCAAAACATACATTTATACTAATACCTTGGCATGTACAAAAATAAGATTTGCATTTTATTTAATCATATGGCTGAATCTATTTTGGGTTAGGTACTAAATCAAAATATTACTTTTGCCATTTTAGCTTTTAATAAGGTTATATACACCTAAGTCTGTTTTTACACGGTAGATTGGTTCCAGAAAAAGCCGTGTGAAAAAAAACGTGTAAAAAAAGACATTGATCTTATACAAAAATGGGTGATTTGTTCCTAATCTCTAAAACCTATCAAAATTAGTGAAAAACAAGAATTCATGTTTATTTTATTAAATCAAATATATAATGCTTATTTTCACAAGCATAGTAATTAATGATAAAAAAGATATGCACTCTAATCTTAAAAGTAATATAAATTCCCCTAAATTAGTGCTATTCACATTTGCTTTGACCAGTAAAAATTGTTTGTACGCGCTAAAGGGGAATTCACTTAAATCTGTAAGCTAGTGTTCGCAAACTATCGATACTATCGATGGTTTCAGACTTTTTTCTTTCATAAATACTTTTTTGTGATATGAACATACTTCGCAAAAATTAAATTTGACAAAAAAAATTTAAGTACATAAAATTTCAAATAGTGCTAAATGGAATAAAATCGTGTAAAAAAATTAAAAATATTCAATTTTCAAACAGTGTACAAAAAGACTTAGAGGTGTATATATATATATATATATATATATATATATATATATATATGTATATACTTTACCTGATGTGAGCGTAAGGTTCCAAAATTATCGCGAGCTCTGTAGTCACGCGCGTTGTATCCGCCGTCAGTCTGATACTGGAAGAGCATGTCAGCATTAGCTGGCGGCAAGTTACGTGCATCGCGCGCCTCCCGCGGCTCGCAAGGGTCACGAAGGCTTGGTTTGCGAAGTGTACCACGAGGAGAGGGTGGACCCTTGGATGGCGGCTGAGGCATCAATACAGGCTCGGCATATGTAACTTCTTCTACTTGCGGTAAGAGCTTTGGTTCCGTCTGAATCCTAAAAGAAACAATTCATGCTAGATAAAAATTAACTAGTGGGGTGCATGGCATCGTGCCTTAAGGCAAATTGCTGGAACTTCCAGTGACATAATTAAAAATTTTGGTACGGAACCCAAAAAAAATTTACGTATTATTACGTACGCATTATTAAAATCTCTATAAAATATCTGATAATTTGATGTACATATGTCCAATAAACATTTTTGACCGCCAAATGACATATTACGCCTTATTTTTATTGGGAGTCCATAACCGCTGGATCTGCCTTCCCAAAAATTTTATCAGTTCTTCATCTTGTCAATACAAGTAAAATGTTTTTTGAATTATTAAAATCGGACGCTCCGTTATCTTACAAACTGAGTTACCGTTTTTGGTACTTTTTGCCCCGTATCTTCGAAACGGCTAAACCTGCCTTCGCCAAAAACTAATCAGCACGTTTCCTTATCAATACAAATCAAATGTTTTTTGAATTATTCAAATCGGTTGATCGGGTGTTCCCGAAATCTTCGACGAAAATTTGTATCCGCACACACACACATACACACATACATTCATTTTTCTAAGATATGCCAAAATATTCAGAAACCTTTGAAACGTAAAGACATATAAAAATTTTTCATTTTCGTTTTTTTTGTGATTACTATAACTTACCCTACGGAATGTTAATAAATTGTTAAAACTCTTAATTTCAAGCTGATTTGAAAAACTCATATATATATATATATATATATATATAATATAAGTTACATAAGCGCAAACTCTTATCAGTCCGCATAAAGAAAAATATTTACTGCCATTTCCTGAAGTATATTTGAACCGTACAAACCTATTAATATTTTGTCTCTGTTCAAAATATTCATATTCTGTATCAGGATATGGTAAATTGTCATCTTCGTCTTTATGGCACTTTCTTCCACAGAAATATCCCGTGACGAAGCCCATCAGGAGAGCACACACAGCGCCAGCTACCACAGCCATTACTAAAGTTTCAACAGAATATTGAAGAGGCAAAGAATCTGCAGGTGTCACTGAAGGTCCTAAAATTTCAATAAATAAATTTAATACATTTATGATGAAAATTACACATAATGATAGTTCTCAGTTACTAAGTTTGGAAATATTATATTATACATATTTGCTTATAATTTATATATAAACTACTGTTCTTACCATTGTTCTCATACTCTTTGTCTTGCATAATGTTTATAACTTCACCGTCAGGTTGGTCTTTGCTGGGTAGCTGATTATCTGAATGTATATATGACTTAGGCTGATTTGAACTCAATCCTCCAACACTACTGGCATCTTTTCCACCTGTAACATGCGAATATTCAATGCAATGACAACAAAAACCATTCATAAACCATTCATTGTTATTCATATGTGAATAACACAAATCTTATGTGATAAATTAAATTTAGTTTAAACTATTATTGTAGTGCCTTTATTTTATTTGTTTACTTTCCACTAATTATTTACACATTGAATGAAAGTGTTATATGCAAAATAATAAAACCACCATACTCAAAAGTGCATAAAAAAAGTAGGTGCAAGTTAGAAAATTTAAAATTTTGACGCGGTTCATTTCAAACATTATTTAATTTTCATAATTAAACAAATTGTTTTTAAGCTTACAACATTTAAGAATGTTCATTAAGGCAATGAACTCTATTGTCAAAATAAATTATCAACAATTAAGAAAAAACTGCATGGCCAACCCTTACCAAAATCTAAACAACACAATTTTCAAAATCGGTTCTAAATTATTTCATAAACAACTAATCAATGCGAATCTTTATCGAGTTTCGATAAAAAATCTTCTAAATTTTTGAAACCGGTGTAGACGTGCTTGGAAAAACTCCGACAAAAAATTAAAATTTGGTACTTGTACACATACACAGATTGAGTTGAAACATAGAGAAACAAATTGTTTATTTTTGGCTTAAACACAAACTTCCCTTTCAGTAAGGTAATAAATAAAATGCAATAATACACGATTAAATAAGACTCTTTCATAAATGGACAAACATGTATAGACTTATAGTTTATATTATTAACCAATACTAAGTTAACTTACTTATTGGGCATGCAGCATGTTGACCTGTTGCAATATTTTGATAGAATAGAGTTTCTTCGTGCCAATTTGGGTCACCATAAGCCTTACATTTTCCTTTTAATTTATCCCAGGCACAATATGGATCTTGCAATGCAACACACTCACTGTAAGAAAACAAATCCATATTAAATAAACAATAGAATATAGATTAAAAACAAATAATCAACAGTTGGGTTCACTTTTAAATATTGGCAAATATTAATGATTTAGGCATTCCATCTTGCAACAGTTGGGTTCACTTTTAAATATTGGCAAATATTAATGATTTAGGCATTCCAGCTTGCATTCTTATACTAAATTTTAGCTAATTGATTATTATATTCATAATTAACACTTTTTTTTAACAGTATTAATATTTCATTCAAATTATCATTATATAGTTTGTTTTTTTATACACACCTGCAAGAACTTATTTTATTGCTATTACATCTGTGTAGTTTGAGCGCTTGAACTTGATTATCTGCAACAACAACTAATCTTCCATCTTCAGAACCATAACTCTGCATAACTTTTAAATTTCTGATTGGCACATTTGGTGCAAATACTTGCATTTCCTCAATTACAACTGGATTAACGCGTTTACTGGAATCTGCTGCATCTGCATTGATCGCTTTTATTACCTTTCCATTATCTAAAAAAATAAAAAAATAATATGAATTATCATTATCACAATTTAACAATATAAGAATATTTCCTATTGCCTAAGACTTTTATAATAGTAAAACCTTAGGTATGTAAAATGTGTATAATTCTAATAATATGAGTAGATAGTAAATAACATTAAAGTGAACAGTCAATATTTTGTTAAATAATAGGCCTCACCTGTTCCAATAAATAATATATCATATGTTTTTCCACCTGGAGTTCTGATTTGTGGATCAACAGCAATTTGGGTGAATCGGTAACTAATAATAAATGATTGAAATTAATAAATTGAAAGCGAATCTTATTCTAAAACATTTTGAGCAATAAAACTTACTGAAAGCTAGTTCGTATCACAATTGGCTCCCCAAAGAACGTAGGAACAGATTCGTCCATTAGGGAATGCGTTTTTATGAAATTTAGAGTAGTATCTGGTAAAGACCTTGAATCATTATTGCAAGAACCAGGTCTTGGTTCAGGTACCTGAAAAAACAATTCAATATATATATATATATATATATATATATATATGTGTGTGTGTGTGTGTGTGTGTGTGTGTTTTTGTTTTTGAACATAAATCAGATGTAAGTTTTATAGGCTACTTTGCTCAAACCACTTCTCTACTACTTGGCTTTTTAGAAGGAATTCCGATAACTATTCTATATAATTATATATTATTCCTATTTATTAGAAATATGAAAAATAGATGCTAGCATAGTCTCACACCTACTAAAAGCATATGAAATCATTTTTCACATTTAGTATGCAAATTAATAAAAATAAAATAAACTGAATGTATTTTTTTTGTATTACAGCGTTTAGTAAACTCACAGTAATTAAAAGATATGAAACTAAAACACACAAAAACACATTTTATATATATATATATATATATATATATATATATATGCATATGTATATATGTATATGTATATATATATATATATATGTGTGTGTGTGTGTGTGTTGCATAAACCAGCGCAGAAGTCTCTGATTCGATTTCCGCGGAAGTTCGAAAAAAATGAATTTCATACGAATATAGCTTGCTTATCTCAGTATATAACCACTTAATATTCTTTCAAATATTTACGACGTCATTGTAAAATTAAAAGTAAAACTCTGTTACAATACATCATTTTAGCAGAAGCGTTAGTTATTTCAAATTATAATAAAATAATACAAGCCAATATAAGTTACTAATAGTTAAAATAGTATGGAAATAATATTAGTATTGATTTACCTTGGCACTATTTACTGGTAACCAATTGGAATTAAGAGCTGTTTGCTCCTTAAAGTTTCCTTCAAAAGTGTCGGTGATATCTTGAAGTGAGAACGCACAAACGGCACTACCAGATATGCTATTCGGCGGCGTTGTAAAAGTACCATAAATTAATTGAGAGGATGTACCACCATACACACCATCAATCAACTCAGTTGCAGATTCTGTAATTTTGTGAACAAAGATTCCATAAAAATTAAAAAAAGAAACTGAAGTTTCTTAAACGTGCTTTTGAATAATTTAAATTAAAAAAAAAATGCTTGTTTAAAATAATTTTATTTCACGAGTTTGCTTTATATGACAATAAATATAAATATTTACAGAAGCAAATTTAAAACCCGTAATCTATATTCAACTAAAAATAGATTAATTGATAGTCTGGTAACAATTTTTATAAATAAATAATAATAGATTGGGGAAAAAGAAATCCGCTATTTTATAGCTTTAGAATCCAATTATTTTCTAGTTGTAGTGACAGATTTCTCGTAACGTACCTATCATTAAATTTCAAATTTCTTGTTATTTGCTTGTGTTTCGTTTAATTTATGATGAGTTAAATAAACTGCAGAAGTTCATATAAAAATAGTGTTTTTTTTTCTTAAACCTAATATTTTTTATTTAAATTTATTTTAAATTAATGAAAAGCACTACACCAACCTCAAATAGAACATATCTAAACATTAAATAAAAAAGTCCAACATTTTTAAATAGCGCAATACAACATTTTGTAAATAAAATATTTACAAAAATATACTTACGAATTTCATTGAAATAAAAAGGGAAGTTTCCAGGTGCTGAACAGTTAAGTCGTGACTTTAGGAACGAAGTCCAACGGTTTCTAAATCGATGCGGTCCTCCTCTGTCATACTTGCAAACACGCGCAACACGAGAAAACACAGCCTGAAATAGTGAATTACAATATTTAATTGAATTATATAACTCATTCGCAATAGTTCCGTACATTCCATAATAAAATCAAAATATTCAGAATGCGCTGCGTTTATTTTTCACTTATTTGTATAGAAGCTTAACTTATGCTAAGTATTCAAAGCGAGTCAATAAGCAAAAAATTGTATAGCTCGTCGAAGCCGTCAACAACATATAAAATAAAATAATCTACAATATTTTTTTTTAAATTCCCATACTTCTGCAAACTCCAAGACTAAAAACTTTGTATCTGTCGTGCACTGTAATGTCTCAAAAACAAATATCAAAATAAACATTTAAATTACAAATATTTCAAATTAATACATTTATAAACATATTTGAAATTTTCAATACTTTACTAAGAATCATATTAAAAAAAAATCTATTTCACACCACATGCATTTTACTTCTAAAATATGTTGGATTAAAATTTTCGTACCTTTCCACAATTAATATATTCTACAGCAGTTTCCCGAAAGAAAAAGTAAACAAAATCGCCCTGAGTAAGCGAACTAACAAAATCGGGAGCTGAAAATTAATACAATATACATAGTTATAGATATAGGAGCACATTACATATGTATCTCTACTTAAAGCTTAAACATATAGCACCGATGATAAAAGATTGAATTTAAATACTTGATAAAAAAAAGTGTCTTCACTGTCCCCAACGGACCGCCGTACTATTTGCTGTAATTATGGTTTAATAAAATTGTTTCCAAAATTTTCGTGCATTATCATTATTGCGCAAAATTTTCAATATTCACTTTCTTTATATGCTGCTATATAAATTGATATTAGATTGTTCATCTTATTCTGAGTTAATGTTATCAATTCGCGATATTATTAATTTTTAACAATAATTACTTACCATTAAGGCTCATGGAATCATATTGTTCCGTTTGAAGAGGTTCTCTATATATGATAGGATCCATGCCACTGAAATCAGCCACAGTGCCCGTATAGAGGTCATCATCTGTAAAATTACATTATCAGTGTCTAGTAAACTGACATTTATAATATTCAAAAACTCGCCAAAGAAACAACAGAATATACAGACAAATATTCTAAATACTAATAAAAAAGTTCCCATCCCATATTTGTTTTTCTACATAAATACGAATAAATTATTTATAATTTGAATTAAAATTAAATTAAAATTACAGCCAATCCCCGTATAACACGGTTCGAGAATTGAGGACATCTCTCTTATAACACGGTACTTTTAAAGCACAGGTTCGCTCTAACACAGTTCGAAAATTGAGTCAAACTGAAATAAAATAAAAAAATACAGTAAAACTAAAAGCAAAGTTTATATAATTTAAAATTCGTGATAACGTAAACGTAATAAAACTAGGGCAAAAACACTTCATTTGACATTTTTATTCGAGCGCGTACATTCTATCAAAAAAAAGATAGAACGGTTCATAATATTTCTTAAATAAAAAGCTTTCTGATAAAATGCGCACAAAATTTCAATAAAGGTAACTTTGCATGATCATCAATAAAAAATATATAGATCTTTTCATTAAACGCAAGCAATCTCAAATAACAGATTTTGTTTACAAAAAATGATGATGATTCTGAAACTAGTGCAGAAAATACTCATAATCAGAGCATATCTTTTCAAAAAGAAAAGTTTTGCGTTGGATGGCACTTAGTTTTAATATGAAAATATCGTTTAGTTTGTTGAAAAGCAACAAATTCATTTAATATGTTTGTATTAGTATTATTTAGTATTGTTTCTTGAGAAAATTCAATACATGTATTGAATTTTACTAAAAAATATAATGTGTAGCACATTTTTTTTGAATTATTGGAAGCTAACCCCTATTTTTGTACTAGTCCTTTGTTTCGTAGAGAACATATTCGCATAACACGATAGGTTTTTGGAACGTAAGAACCGTGTTATATAGCGGTTACCAGTAGTGGTTTTCAAACATTTTCATATACGTATTATGATCAATTTTCATTGTATAATTGTTGTAAGGTCATAATTAACAAGCTGCAAATCGTTTACCTGCTATCACAGCCGTAGAGTTATGTCGCGGGTCGTAAGGGCACACAGCAAGGGCAGTCTTTTCGGATTCAATACTATAATTTCCCTGCTGTACCATATACGTGCGGCATACCGGTTTAAAAGAATTTGTACCGCAGACCAACAGTTTGTTAGGTCCTTTCATCTCTAATATGCGTACATAATTTTGACAGTTATCCTGAAATGGAGAATAACAATCAGTACATGCACTACCAAATATAGAAGAAAATTATATACAATTTAGAAATATAGAATATATTTTTTTTAAAAAAATTTGCATACAAAAGTTTTGAACCAATGACAAAATTGTTATCATATAGAGCTAAATATACCTATATTTTTATTAAATAAAAGACGTTTACATTATATTGTATTATCCTAATCAGATAATTCCGGTTAAATTTAATACATTACTTTATAAACAAGAATTTTACAACAGTATACGAGAATCAATTAGGTACATAAAATCCACACAAATTCTTATATAGCGTTATAATAGATATAATAATTCTAAATTGTAAAATCAAAACTTTCGTGGTTTATGAAACCAATGTTTTCTCTCACATAAATTATGTTAAAATCAACATAAATGCAGATTTAAAATTATGAAATTGAAACTTTGCAGCTAAGAATGAAAACAAATGCAAAAACGAAATTATCTAAATATACTGTAGTACTGTATAATGCTTTTTTACTTTGGCATATTACATAAAATTAACTATTCGTGCCTTAAACGGGTATTCTGGTCTAGATTTTTTTAGATATTTCCATAGTTTAACTAATCAAAAATTTGTGTACAAGAGAATTTTTCAAAATTTAAATTATCTTCAAAAATATGACTGTTTCCTTCCTCCGCAAAACTAAACGTATTCCTCTTGAAATTTTTACAGCCTTCTTTATAGACTTGTCTTCAGAATGTACTATGCTCATTCTCAAATTCCGATTTTAACTATTTTCATAAAATTCGAGAATACCAAAAAAAATTTTTTTCAGACAGTTGCTATTTTGTGAAAAAAACATTTTATTTAACTTGTCCGTAAATCATACGATAGTGGCATTAGTCTGGCAAAAGTACATATATTTAAACCATAAATATGGTTCAAATTCATGATGAATATAGTTAGGCGCCATTTTTTTTGAAACTCGCCACTTGAAACCGGAATACTTCCTTTGGCAAGCTGGAGAAACTTCCTATTCCAAATAAATGTATTTGAAAATCAAATTTCAATTTGATATCCGGGTAAAATGGCATAATATCAAATTGTGTTTGAACATGGTGAAAATACTAATCATTTAAATATGTTAGAATGCTTAAAAAAATCGTAATAAAAACCATAAAAAATTAAAAAATGAATATCTTTGAAGACTAAAATTCACTTATAATGTACCGGAAATGAATGGTAGTATGAAATACTAATTATATATTCATCACTAAAAAATAACAAGATTCAGTTTGATAGCTGAAATTCGATGGTCCAGTCTCGTTTTTGTAACTAACAAGTTTATTTGAAGTACTGGAATGATTATAAACTTCAAATTGAATTATACGAGTATGTGCTGAATTTTTTTCTATATTTCTTTTGTAAAATTTTGAAACGAAATTAACGTTATCGAATTATTAAATACTGACCTCATCTTTTCCCTTCATAATACACATTTTGATATCGTCTTCCGAAGAGAACCAGGTCAAACGTTGCTGCTCAGACAGGTCAGCTAAGCTGAGATTGTGCACAATATTTCTGAAATTCAAACAATTTTCAATATTACTTCTACTTCCTATACTAATATAGAATGTAATACATCAAATTCTATCGTAAAATTACTATCGATTATCTCGACATTAAGAGTGTATAAATAAATTATTTAACATCGATTACATTATTCTTGTAATGCTTCAGTTTAACTGATGGCAGAACTATCAATGACGCCTTTGATATGAATTGATATATTTAATGAACAATTTATTTATTAATAATCTGGTATTTTATTCAAGGTTAAATTTCTTGAATAAAATAAAAAAGTAAAAAACACATGTTAATTCAACCGTTTTTCCAAAATTCATGACTTCATATAATATATAAATATATATAAACTCGTATTGTGAAAACGGTGGAAGCAAAGTTGTACAGTTGTATCTAATATATATTAGATGACGTCGAAACAATGGTAACGAAATAGATTTAAAAAAGTACGTCAATAAAAAACGCTTGCTCATGCATGATGAGAGAGCACAGAATAGAGAAACCTTACTATTGGATCAAAATCTGCTACTTGCATATGTTACATCAGAGCAATGGTACATTTTTGAGAATCGCACAGTCCGAGTGTAACGAAAGTGACAAAAATCAGCAGAGGATCACCACATACTTCAAGGAGATATTCTAGTTTAATAATTTCAAGAAATTGATTATTTTCAAAGTTTAACTATTGAAGAATTTTCAAAGTATACGAGAGGATTTTTCAAAATTTAAATTATTTTCGGAGATAAGGCTGTTTGACCACGATAATGTTGCTGTTTCTTTTCTTCGCGAAACTTTAAATTCGTTTTTCTTCAAACTGTCCTTTTCGATATGATAACCATGAATTCTCAACTTCTACTGAATCGATTTACTAGAAATGTTCAAGAAGTCTTCTTGGCAGACTTCTCATCTGTATGAACTAAACTCCAAATTCCGATTTTTATGATTTTTAAAAATATTTCGAGAATATCAAAAAAAAAGCTGTAAAAATTATATTTTTCCAGACCGTCACTATTTTGTGAAAAAAAATTTACTTATATATTTATCGGATTATTTGAAGGGCTAAAATCAAGGGTATGGTCACATGGCATTTTTTGAACAACTCAACTCAACTGCTAGAATTACAACTTTTTGACTGTTTTTAATTTAATTTTTTTTGTGTTCCTTTAACATTAAATAATAACTTATTTATGAACACAGAATTCGAAACCCTCATTGGGAACAAGTACATATTGTAATGCACTTTTTATATAAATTGACATGTACGAGTAATGTTAGAGAAATGGGCAATTCTTGCTATAAAGGGTTCCATCCGCTAGACAATAATGCCAACAAGGGATTTAATAAACATTTGGATATTTGGATTTTTTGGAAAACGCACTAAAATATAATTCATAATTGTGAAACTGGAAGCGATAATATTTCTGAAAATATATATATAAGCACAGTTTTGTGTCGTCAGAATTGAGGTAATATGTTGTTTCAGGGAAAATGCCACTTACAAGTATTTATTTTATTTCGGCATACCCTCAAAATAATATAAGTATCTTGAAATTTGAGAATGTTTTATTTTTTCTTTACAAAAATTGCAATCTAATACAATGAAATACTCTATATAGGCATAACGAGTATACTCGTCAATATACAAAATTCTGCAATTTCTTCAGTACTGGTATACACGTCAATTATAGTTAAAATTTAAAATTATAATATTGTAATAAAACAAATAAATCAAATTACTTCAATTACAATAAAAATGATATTGATCAAAATCTGTATGAAACGTTTCACAACATCGATTGTCCATTTTGACACGTAAAATTGTATAATATTAATAACTAAAATAAAAATGAAAAAACATATAAAAGCAATATAGTTTAACAGCACAGTAGTACTAACCGTCTACCAAAATTGTAGGTGCTTTTGTAACACCTATAAAAGATTACTGTATAATATTAACGATTGCAATATTAATAGTGCATTATTTTACGTTATATTTTCTATAAAAATCATGTCCATTAAATAATTCAGTAAAAGAGAATTTATTACAGTACTCATGGACAAGTGTTTTTTGCAATAAATAAATTAAAAATAATAATATTTTTATTCTTAATTTTATTAATAAGATAAATTTAGTAGCGCAAAGCATCGTGCCTTAAGGCAAATTGCTGAAACTTTCTGCACCAAAAATTAAATTATTTGTACATATACTAAAACAAAGAATAAAATAATATTCATTTTTTATTACAAACTCAAAAAAAACTAATTAAGATAGTTAAAACAATGCAAAATGTATTTACCTGCCACCAATAAGTAAATTATTTCGATCTCGAAGTACTAATTTGAAAAAATCTGTGTGAGTTTCATTTCCAGCAAATTTGTAAACATCATCCGCTCCTGCAACAAAATGAAAAAGAGTTTGAAAAATACACATTCAATTGAGAAATTTGAAGATATGATTTTGGAAAGATAATTCATATCAACTCAATTTTCTTAAATGAAATGCTATTGAGTTGTTCAATGTTTTGCACTTCAAGAACACACATTAAAATGAAGGTATATTATATAGTAGAGTATATAGTAGATGTATATAGTAGAGAAATTAAAACTAAAAATGAGTGAACCTTATAATTACTATTATAATGCAAATTTATGATCAAACCAATCCAAGATCAAATCCAAGGCGAATTTAAATAAATTAAACTTCGATTGACTTGTAATTTAAAGCCACATATATGTGGGTTTTATAAAAACTTGAATGACCATTTGAATTTTATCAAGTTTCATCCCTAGATAACTTTGTATAATACCTTAAAGTGCATGTATGCTTCAAATATATTTTTCAGGCGTGGGAACGAAACTCGGATGATTAAAACCAAATAAATTTGTATTCCAATAACCCAATAGTTATCGAAAAATACAGAACTCGGTGTTGTAAATAGAAAAATACTTTAAAGTAATGTACTTGATATAATAAAATATGTACTGTGAACTAAATTTTTACTAAAGTTTGGTATTAACTCTTTCCACTCGCAAATTCCGACATTTATATGAATTTTGTCGACGGAGCGGCGGCATCCGAGTAGAAAGGGTTAATATATAATAGTCTTTAAAACAAATATACTTAAGATTTGGTTCTGCGTTATTCGACTAACTCACGGTTTAAATTTATCAATTGATATCAAAGCCAGTATTTAAAATGATTGAAATTAACGGACAAAAATTCATTTTATTATTTATTTTATTATATATTATTTTGAAAGTTCAAATAACATAAGTTCAAGAACTCAACTTCTGTAAATATCTGATCGATAATTGAATTGAAATAGTAAGTCCAGTAAATTATTGACTGGGGGTAACTCATTTAAACATAGTTCATATTTTCATAAATGAAAGGGTAAAAAATATTAAATCAAAATAAAATTGTATTATTAACTTTCCGTAGGGCAAGTTATAGTAATCGCAAAAAATCGAAAATGCAAATTTTTATAGATCTTTACGTTTCAAAACCTTCTGAACATTTTTGCATACCTTAGAAAAAATGAATGTATGTGTGTGTGTGCGTATGTGTGTGTGTGTGTGCGTGTATGTATGTATGTTCGGATACAAATATTCGTCGACGATTTCGGGAACACGGATCAACCGATTTCAATAATTCAAAAAGCAGTACGATTGCTTTGAAAAAGAGTTCAGAATTTCCAAAATATTTTAAAATAAATGATTTAAGATAGAATTATTTAATATGGTTCGAAATTCTATTAAAAGTTTCAAATCATTGATCAACTTTTATTGATTATTATTATTGATTATTTTTAATTACTCGAATTTTGAATTGCGATACGGGAAGTTCCAGCAATTTGCCTTAAGGCACGATGCCCTAATTGCCTTAAGACAAAATTCCACTTACAGCTAGTTTTACTAGATTTATTCATAAAATTAATATATTTTAAATAATTTTAACATTATTGGGGGTAATGAAATTAAGTTTTATATTTTGGAAGTAACACATTTTATGCGAATGCATATCGGACCAAGTAACCCCCGGTATCAAGGGTCCATTTCTCTGACACTACCAAATCCGATGCCGATCCGATCCGATCCGATACACAGTTATGATACAAACTGACAGGTTTGTATAAAAATATTGTAAAACATAAAATAGTCGATAATAAAACTTATACTAAAACATTTTGCAACAACATTCAGCTACTACGGTCATTTGCAGGTTGCGCAGAAAGAACTTATGGACTATTCCACGAAAACCGTGTTATCGCAATTTCAGCTCCGCGTAGTATGGAAACCGAGTTTTCAGAGTACCGCGTTATCGCAGGGTTGACTCTGTATTATATCATTCCCAATGTGTGTGCGCAAAGCATAATATACACGCCCAACTCACACTCGTTTCTCTTGGAAACCCCGTACGCCTTGGCATCGTTAAAAACACCAGAAAAGTCAGGAAAGTGAGTACAGATAATAAGTTAGAAGCTAGAAGGTATAGAGACGGAGCAGGCGACCACGAGGCGAGTAGAATGTGGGTTTTTGTGTAAGTAACTAGGGTCAGAGTTTGGAGCCTGGACCGAACTAAAATAACTAAATAATTAATTTTATAAATGTGAAGTAGAATAAGGATGTTTAAATAAGAACACTGGCGAGTACCGCGTGTAATGATAAGCCTGGATTTAAGTTAAATATTAAACTAGTGGGGTGGGTGGCATCGTGCCTTAAGGCAAATTGCTGGAACTTCCCGTACCGTAACGAAATGTTCGAGGATTACTGAATGTTTTCAAATAGATTATTATAAATATTGTAACATTGTCTAATATTTATAAATATTATATAAACTGAATTGCAGAGCTGAAATTATTTGTAAAGTATATTAGAACTATAGTCAGAATGAAAAATAAATATTTTCGATATACAAAAAACTAATAAAAAAAAAAAATGGGACATTTTTTTTTTCCAATATCGATTATTTTGTTAAGACAAGCAGAAAGTTCTTTGAATCATTTAAATCGGACGCTTAGTTCTCTCAAAAACTGCCATTTTTTACATATTTAGCTCCGTATCTTCAAAATGGCTGGGCCTGCCTTTGCCAAAAACTAATAAACACTTCTCCCAATCATTACTAATTGAATGTTTCTTAGATCATTCAAATCGGATACTCCGTTCTCTCAAAAATACGATTTCTATTTTCTGCACTCTTTGCTCCGTATCTCCGAAACGGCTGGACCTGCCTTTGCCAAAAACCAATCAGCTCTTTTCCCTATCAATAGGAATCGGATGTTTTTTGAACCATTCAAAATCGGTTGATCCGTGCGCCCTAAAACGTGACTGGAAATTTGTATCCACACATACATACACAAACACACACACACACATCCATTTTTTCTGAGGTATGCCAAAACGTTCAGAAACCTTCAAAACGTCGAGAAATGTAAAAATTTTCAATTCTGATTTTCGGCCCATTACAATAATAGAACTTACCCTACGGGAAGTTAATAAATTTCGTAATGTACTGTTTTTTTTACTGGGTGTCCAACAACGTTACAAAAAATAAAAACATTAGTTTTATTTTTCATTAAACTAATAATTCTATTTTTTATTTATCAAAGTTTGAACATCTAATTTTTCAATTAATCTAATAACGGCCAATCGGTAGGGTTGTTTATAAATGTACGTTATTAAGAAGTCATCCACAACAAGGATCGGATACTGTAGCTACTACAAGTTCGCTTGCAATAATAGCTTAACTTTTTTTTACATTTTTGTAAAACAAAATTTTCCCACTTCATTTAATTCATGATTATTCACAAGTTAGTGTATAAATGTTTGTTTTAACTTTTATACTTTATACACTTCATTAGATGTAAGATACCAAGTTCAATATCCACTGTTGATGACATTAAATTTTAAGTCGGAACGTTTGAAGTTAAAGAAATTTATAAATCTATGTTTTTTTTAGCTTCCCGTAGGGTAAGTTATTGTAATCTCCAAAAATCGAAATTACAACTTTTTGCATTTTTTCACGTTTTGAAGATTTCTGAATATTTTGGCATACCTTAGAAAAAATGGACGTGTGCGTGTGTGTTTTATGTGTCAGATGTGCTGATTAGTTTTTGGCAAAGACATGTACAGCCTTTTCGGAGTAAGGCTCACGGGCGTTTTGTTTATTTTGAGACCAAAAAGTAAAAAAGTAATTCATCACGAGTTTTCGTCTGGTTTTGTCAAATGTTATTTATTTTTAATCAGGTAAATGTTATTCTTCCATATAATTATAGTACTTTTAATATGCACAGAGATTCTGGGTATAATTCTCACGGTTTTTTTTATAAACTCATTTTATTTTGAAATTCCAAGTTGGGGTTAGTTGAGCATAGTTGCTAAACTTGTTCTGTCACTAAGACAATTACCATTAACTTCCAGAAATTAATTATTATTTTTAAGATTTAAGCTAAGTCTATGAGTAATAATATAAAGAAATAATGATTTTAAACAAAAATACTGAATATAATGGTAATATAATTCCTAAGATACTATATTGTTTTGTTGATTCTACTTTTCGTTAATTATTCAAAGAAAAGTACTAAGTTTTTTTTCTCTGTCAATAAAGACTATAAATATAGAACTGGTTATTAAAAACTTATTTTATTTTATCACTAATCGACATTGATCCTATGATTTCATTATACTTTCTTAGTGCTCAACTTGCCCCACCTATGGGGTGCATTGAGCATACTTGACTTTTTGTATTTAAAGAGCTGTAACTTTTAAATTTTACTTATTACCAAAAAATAGTATTACCACTTTTGTTAAGCGAACAACAAATCCATTAGGCCGTATAGCAATTTTTTAGACTTTTCATTGAGGAGCTATATCCGTTTAATTAAAAATTTGCTCAACTAGCCCCGCCCTACCCTAGTATTTGAGAGAACTAAGCATCCGATTCGAATGATTCAAAAAACTTTCTGCCTGCGTTGACAAACAATTGCTTTTGGAAAATTTTCTTTGTATGCCGAAAATATATCGGATTTTAATTTCAATTCTGGCAAAAGTTCTAAAGCTCACTTATATACTTTAAATAAATAATTTTAACTTTGAAATTCAGTTTATATAATTCTTATAAATATTAATCAATATTCTTCATTTTGAATCCGATTGATTAAGTTTTGTTTATTTGCTTTTCTGTAATACATATATAAACGTCGTGGTCCAATTCATAAGCTCTTATATTTTGTCTATAAAATAAGAATAATGAAAGTTACAGTATTTATAAAAATTTATTTGAAAATATTTAATATTCCTCGATTAATTCGTTACGGTATGGATAGTTCCAGCAAATTGCTTTAAGACACGATGCCATACACCACTAGTTTCTTTGATGTATCGCCCTAAAAGAA